GCCTGGCTGAGCAATCTTCTTGTTAACACCTTAGACTAAGAACCTCAAAATATGGAATTTTAAACATATATATTCCCATGAGAAGCATGGATTGGGTCACTTCAACAGAAGTCATTGCCCTCAGTATTAAATAAAAACCTAGTCACAGTCAGCCTGCTTACTGTTAATGCAAGATTTTAGAGTTTCACCTTACCTTAAGCTGAAAATAAGTCTTGCTGTAAATGCAAGGCTTGTTTTTACTGCTTAAAATTAATTGGCAGCACAACCAGTGCAAGGCAGTGTAGGAAATCAGGCAAAAATTGTGTGCTCATTAGTGATCATTGTGAAAGATTTTAGCTCATCATTTACGTCAGTTGACTCGTGGAGACACTCTTTCCCTAAGAATCATAAAAAATGGATGTTCTTGACACAGTGACACTTAAGAAAATGGTAAAAAAAATGTGCTTTACATGCCAAGGTCGACACACAAAACAAAAGGAAATATTCAACATGGAAGAAAACAAAAATAAAGAAAAATATCCCATTCTTATTTTGTAATGGGTAACAAATAGATTTATTGGGGAGCTCAGGAAGCCATCTAGCACCTCCCTTCGGGAGCAAACACATCCGAGCTGCAGGGATTGGTATGTTGGCGAGCCTAGGGTGGGTAGGGACCATGGAAAACCTCCTGGACCTGGCTGGAGGCAGGCTCAGCCCTTGGGTCCTCCATCCCCACATGGGGAGCAAGGCAAAGCTCCCCTGGTTTCAGGGTTTAATCGCACAGGAAGGACCCACGAGGGTTCTGCTCTCCACGTGTCCATTTGTTCCCAGCCAGGTGCCTGAATTCAGCACTCACAAGATGGTTATTCCATGACTCCTCTCACAGCAGCTCATTGTGCATCTTCCTCATGCAGAGCTGCTCAGGCTCTGCTGGCGCAGTTTTACTGAATGAATGGGAAGAGGTTCACTGTTAATAAAAGAAAGCTGGGGAAAAAAAGCTGAAAAGGCACTGAATACAAAGAAAATCACCAAAAAATACAATTGGTTTGGTCTCACCCGGAAGAGGCAGTGTGCTGCTGTCGATCTACCCCCGTCACTACCATCATTGCTAACTGCGTGCCATCCATAAAGACCCACTAGAAGGCAGTGTTGAAGAAAACTTCATAGAAACGTCTCATTCAGAAAACTGCAGGTCCACAAACCTCAGCAGTGGGTTTTCTAAGATAAAGAGCAACGTAAAACCATGAACTGCTTCATCCTAAATTATTTCTAGTAGATTTTGAATGAGTTGACTGCAGGAAGAGGCGTGGAATCAAACATCATCCCTGCAAGGGAAATCCGATAGCAATATTTGAACTCTGGAAAACACAATTTATTTCATGCCTGTTAAGAGAAATGCCATTAAAAAAAGATCTGAAATTGAGATGCAGCCTGCTCCATGCTGCCCATGCAGACCAGGCTGCCGGGACAGGAAAGACATCCAGTTGAATTCAGCACTAAATGACACCGAAATGAGCCCAATTTGCCCACAAACCCAAGGATGGAGTTTCCAACCTGCTGCTAGAAAGACAAGAAGTGGCTCCCCACATTTCTTGGCAGTGATGCCTACTCCTGCAGAAAGGCTTACGAGCCAGATCTCCGCGTTTTTCAGAGACAGGCAGCTCTGATGAGCTCTATGAATAGAGTTGTTGATTCACTGGAAAACACAGGAAAAACCGGGGAAAAAACAAATCAAGACAATTTAAACTGCTGGCACATTTTTGTATCGGTGAATGAAATGTAAAATGTGTTTTGAAGCGATGCAATAACTTGGTAGCCCACACAGACGAATGAATTTCTGATTTGACGTTAAGTGCGCTTGAATAAAAATACCAAGTGGGATTTGGTACAAAAAGCCTTTTTGAACCAAAAAAATACGGCTTTTCGGAAAATTTCTGGAAGTGGAAATATTGGCTGGTGGTTTTCAATGGGAAAATGAAAATATGATTCAATGAATCTTTCATCTCATATTAAAACATATAAATATTTTGAATGAAGAGTTTATCTTGCTTTTGTGTGTTATTTGAGAGCAACTGGACTGCAATAAAAGGGAATTACAGTCCTAAACACTCATGCAACTATCCCCTCCATTTTTTCCAATAAACATGTATTTCCAGAGGTTTGGCCAAAGAGATGCTGCAAATTGAACAGAACTCAGGGAACAGCTCCCATTGAGGAGACTTTTAAAAAGATGCATTTACAAGAAATTCTGTTTGGGGGTCTATTTGTTGTGACATGAAAAATCCTCAGTGTTGAAAGGAGAAAAGTTCGATGTTTGAACCAGAATGTGCAAGTCCTCCCTGGGTCTATGGGCAGGAACAACACACTGTTGGGCTGGTGTAACCTACCTCACCTTAAAAGAAAGAGCTCTATAGGGTGATTAAATTGTTCTGGAACTATTTTCTTGTCTAAATGTCAGGAAAAGATGAAAAGATTTTCTATTCTTAAAAAAAAATATAAAAATTATTTTCAGTGACATTTCTTCAACTGAAAGACTTTGCATTTGAAAAGCAGTGTGTGCTGCCAGCACAGTTATAAAGGCTCTAAACCAGCTCCTATACATTTTACTGAAAAGTTCCTCTTTTCATGAACCTCATTCCTAGCATGTCATTACAGAACAGAGCCGAGGGGTTTGGGTAGCCTGATTTGAGCTTGACATGTTCGGCTTTCTCTTTATTTTCCCCTTAAATGCGAACTTTCTACATTTATGATGTTTATTTGGGAAATAATTAGAACAGCCGTCTTGTGGGTATTCTTTGAATGGTTAAAGCAGGTCCTCCACCTTGGCTTCATCATCTCCAGGAATATTCATACAGCAAACGTGCTCCAAATGAAGAGCCAACCTTTACGGAGAAGAGAAAGGAAACCTCCCCATCCTGTCGAATGGTCATGCCCACATTACAGTATTATTAATTACTTTGCTATTGAAGAATCACTCTCCATATGAGGCCAATATTTAATGAAAGGCAACCAAGCATCAGAAAAAAAACACAACAAACCCTGATTATTAAACCCAGAAAGTCTTGTAAACTGCTGAAGCCATCAGTGGAAAGAGCCGCAAAGTTTCTCATCTTTTTCTCCTTCTCCTTTAACTTCTCACTGGTCCTTGTAACACAAATCAAGGCTACTTTCCTGTAAATTCTAAATGCAAGGAAGAGCATGCTGCCAGCAGAAAAGCTGCAGCCCCACCAGCAAAGGAGCCTGTGCCCGAGGACCATCGCTCCAGTACCAGGCTCTAGAGGACACTGTGCTCCATGAAACCCTCTGGGAATCTGCCTGGGCTGAAAGCACTGACGATAGCACAGGGCTTTTCCCTGTGCTTTATGGATAAACATTTACCGAGTGGCTCAACTGGTTCTGCAGGGCTGCTGGTGCTGGATGCTGCCCGGTGGCCCCAGCCAGGGCTCTCCCGAGGCCGGCACTGTCTCTGCAGAGAGGCTTTAGCACAGAGTGTGGTTAAACACGTTATGCTGCATTCAGATTTGCCACCTCCCCGACCTCGCTGAGGGGTTTTTTCCCCTTCTCTGTACGTCCTGTGAGTCTGTAAGTAGCCGTCAGCGCTTCCCAGGAGGCTGCTTTGGAATCTGAACATTAAATGTGGGGTTTAATATACAATATAGAGGATGCTTCCCTGTCTCTGACCACATGAGATGGGGCAGGGCAAGCGGACCCAGCCCCATGCTGGAGAGGCTGGCTGGGAGCAGGAGTCACCATAGCACCTCTGGCAGTGCTGAACGACACTCACCCTTTTGCTTGCTGCCTTTAGTTGATTTCCATTTTGGGAAACTTCCTTTAGGGTTGTTGGACAAATAGGAGAGAAACCAAGAAAAGGCCACTTCTCTTTGAAGGTTTGGTGGCAAAATCATTATTCCCATCTTCATCACATCGTACATCATTTGGGATGCAGAGCCCACATTTGCACCCCGGTATGTTTCAGGTCATCTTTAATTACACGATTCATCCAGTTTTTAGCAACAAACACAACCTCTGGCCTCCTCCAGTGCCGTTCTGGATTTCCATTGTGGTTAATTCGCAATGGAAAAAAAAAAAACCAACATTTCTTCTCTCAGATAGAAAGTCGTGTTTCTTTTTCTTAAATGAAAATCAAATAAAAAGGTAACTTCCATTCATCAAGTTGTAAATGAAGAATTAATATCCATTTAACCCTCACAAAGAAAAGTACAAAGGAAGCAGCAGGAGCAGAGACCACTCAGCCCGGCCCCTAGGGCATCACCACTCCACAGGGATCAACATTCCTGATGCTGGAGTCTTCCAGGTCAAGAGAAGATATCCATAAAGGGAAAAAGAGGTGCATTCATCAGCCTGTAAATGAAGTTTTGAAAGATTCATAAGAATTTAACCCAACTGACACAACCAGAAGTCATTCGATTTCCACTCTTCATTAACTTTGGGCTACCTGCTGCAAGGAAAAACTCACCCATCCACACACCGGAGGTTATTGAGAAATGGTTTTATTAAGGCCCAGCTAGAAGAAGAACATAAACCTAAGGGTGGCCGAGACAACTGGGACCTGGCCCCAGAAACTGCCACGCTGCTCTGTGGGGAGCCATCGGGTCCCCTCGCATGTAACAACAAACATGCCAAAACTTCAACACCCTTTAAATAGTCATAAAAAGAAGCATTAAACTTCGTAAGTTATGTTTCATAGCATTAAAAATGTTTTTCTTTGTTGGGTGCTGCAGTGCTCTGGGTGCCTGCAGTTCAAGTGCGGCGTCCACACCATTAACCAAGGTGTGCCTGGTCCCCGTGCTATAGTGCAAGGTGTGCGCGGTCCCTGCGCCACCGCCGAAGATGCGCCTCGTCCCCATGCTGCCATGCAACGCGTGCACATCCCTCGCACCGTCACACCAGGCTTGCGTGGTCCCCATGGTGCCGTGCAAGGCGTGCATGGCTCCTGCACCACGGTGCGAGAAGCACGAGCGAGCAGCAGGCTCTCAGCACACCGCTTCTTGCGCGGAAGATCAGCAAGAGCCGCTGTGAAGCCGCCCCGCTGCAGCACGGGCTCACCGGAGGGTCCCGCTGAGGCAGGGCAGGCAGGCGCAGCAGGCGCAGATGCTGAGCGCAGTCGTCAGCAGGGCCGAGAGCCGCGATGGCCGCTCGTACTTGAAGGCTTTCTTCACCTCGCCGCTGCTCTGGGTGATGTAGTCGAGGGTGCGCAGGACGTGGTGCTCCACGCTGTCGGCGGCCCCGTGCTGCTCGGCCAGCAGCCCCTCCAGCCGCAGGAAGAGCCCGTGCAGCTCCGCCATCTGCGCTTCCAGGTCGAGGAGCTGCCGCTGGCGCGCCTGGGCCATGGCGAGGTGCTGCTTGGCCTTGACCGCCTCCAGGTCCCTGCCCACGATGCGGGGCACCTCGGGGCTCTTGGCCAGCTGGTCCAAGTCCTCGGTGCCCAGGTCAATGCCCGCCAGCTCCGCCTGCCTCTCGAGCTGCTCCTTCAGCCTCTGCCGGTAGCGGCTCTCCCGGGCGTAGTGGCGGGCGAGGACGGCGCGGTACCGCCGCAGCAGCAGCCACTGCTGGGTCTGGCGGACGCGGGGCCCCGCTTGCCCCGTCCCATCCCCTGGTGCTGCCGGCAGAGCGCCCAGCTGGGGCTGCAGGGCCATGGCCTCGCGGGTGAAGGCGGCTCTGGCAGTGCCGAGCCCCGTCTTCTCGCGGGCGATGCTCTCCGCGGAGGTGCAGCACAGCACCGTCTGCTGCGTCCTGTTGATGCTCTCCGAGAGCTCCTCCAGCCGGTCCAGTGCCCGCCAGAGCTCGGCTGCCTCCCGCAGCGCCCGGCTGACGGGGCTGGCGTCGTCCGCAGCGAACACCGGGTTGTCGAAGCACAGAGCATCCTCATGCGGGTTGCCCTCGGCCGCGGCTCGCTGCTGCAGCTCCGCCAGCCGGTCCCTCATGGTCCGCACCGGCCACCGGCACCATCAGTGGCACACATCAGCCCCGGGAGGGGAGGTGCGAGGCCGGAGCTCCCTGCGTCAGCCGGAGCTTTAGAACCGTCCCTCCTGGCACCAGAGCAAATACCGATGGAGGAGGGCAGGCCGTACTGCGTCAGCCTCCCGGCCGGACCCACCGCACCGCACCGCAGCAGGGAGGGGAAAGGGGCTCTGCTGAGAGGCAGAGCAGGAGGAAGGCGACCTGGGGCGGGAGGGCTGCCAGCACCGTCAGCACCTGCGTCACCTCATGTCACGGGACAGGCGCTCCTGGCTCAGTGTCTGACCTAAGACAAAGGGCTTTTATTCACCAGCAAACCAACCCCAACGTCTGGGATCCTGGGGGCAGAGGAGGGGGTCCCCCCCGGCCTCCCCTCCTGCTGCAGGGCCCTGTGGTGTCGGCATCTCTGCCTGCACCCCGAAACAGGCGTTCAAACAGCTTTGGAGGAGGAAAGGGCACGTCTCAAACACACGCTGCAGCACCTGAACACATCATAACGTGTCTCAAGAAGCAGCTCCTCATGCGGATAGGACAGCTGAAGGGAAATCGCACTGTGCCAGTGCCTGTTTAAATTGAGAAGCTGGGATGGAGGCAAAACTCAGCTTCCCCCTCTCACGAGGGTCAGCAAGGCTCCGAGGGCCAGACAGTGCCCTGCAACCACCACCGTTGCAGTGCCCAGAACATGGGGAGCAGCTGATGGAGGGATGGAAGAGGGTGCTTGAGGGTTTTCCTGGCTGGAAATGAGCACTGGGATAGCACAGCTGCCCTGCACATCGGGGCACGGTAGTGGTTTGTCCAAACACTGCCGAAACACGTGAGAATCACAATTTCATTCTAAATCATCTGCAAAAGTTACCATTAAAAAGAATACTTCTATAAAATACATTTCCGAAGTGATGTGAAAGAATAATTGTTCTCTAGCAAATCGATATTTTATATCATATACTTTATGACATGCATTAGCATATATAACCCAAATGTGTGATGATATAAAGTGCATGATATAACAGCTATGATGATATCGACAGGAGTGACAGCAAAGGCTGGTTAAACGCAAGTAAAGCAGCTCTGAAGGGAGAGTAATTTCTCTCTAATGCCATTGACGGATGTACTTAGTGCAGGTACTCAGCATCGGTGCAATATAAGTTTGATTTTGTTCTCTGTAACTGAGAAGGCAAAGAAAATAAAACAAACCTTCTGTTCCTGGGGGCTGGAGTTTGAGCGTTGTGTGAAGAAGAAGATACCCATTCACATCCGGGAGGAACTGCCGTTCAGCCCATTTGAATCAGTGCAGTAAAATGCCAAGTAAGTCAGGAGGTTAACATGGGGAAAAGGCAAAGTAGCGTGTGCAAGAGCGGGACATGGCAGGATAAGCTTGAGGGCAGCCAAAACACTAACTTTGAAGGCTTTAAACCACAGGCAGGCTGGTCTTCCTTGGGTACCTTTAACAGTCATGTTTGAGTATGAAACCACTTGTGCCTGATGGTGGCTTTAAAGCTTGTGTGCAGTGGGGCACAGAGGGCCCCAAACCCCTGCCTGCTCACACTGGGGCAGCCCTGTCACACGTGAGGGTCATTGCCTGCCCTGGCTGAGCCAAGGACCCCTGGCAGCCCCCAGCCTGTGCTGGCCGTGCTGCCAAGGCAGCTTTACACCACCCATCCCTGTTGGAAAAGCCCTGTTTGAACAGTATTATTGCTGCTGTTCAACAAGAGCACTGATGAAAAAGGAAAACTTTTTTTGGCATTAAGTACTCAAAAATAGGTGCAAGCTCCTTCTGGAACCAGATCTCAACACCTGAACCCATCAGTGTCCTGCAGCGTCAGGAGGGACCTCCCCCAGATACCTTCTCCTCCTCCTCCTCCTCACCTGCTCTGGTGCTGCTCTGCACAAGTCCTATCACCCTGAAGAGCATTTTTCACATAGTTTCCCAAGAAAGCATCAGCTGTTCCTCTCTTTTTGCCCAGGAAAATGGCATTTTGGAGCCAGATCTGATAATGATTTGAGTAACCCACCCTGAGTGAGACCTCGAGCTTGCTTTTGGCAAAGGTGAGGGGCTCTGTCCTGTCCTCCTCGAGATCCACAGTTTACAGAAGTTCCTATATCCACTTAATAAAAGTTTCCTTTTCAATAAGCATAAAATTATCCAGTTGAATCAAAAAGCATTTTTCTTTTGATGTCAAAACCTTAATTTTAAGTGTTTTTCAGTCTTTTTCACATCTAAACTACTTATTAAGTAATGCAAAACCAAAGTAAGAGTTTCTCTCTTTTTTTATTAAGACAATCCCCACAGCTGGAAAATGAAACATCCTAGATTACATAAGTGACTTCAAAAAAACTCTAGAAAAAAATCTTTACAAATTTACATTTGTACAATACAAAAACTAACAGCTCATTGCATATAAATATTACATTTGGTCTGCCAACAAGTGGCATCAAAATCCCTGAAGTATTCATTTAAAGGGACCTGAGATAGCGGATGTGAAGATATGGGCATAAATATCACCTGGGGAAAAAAAAAAATCAATATAGAAAGTAGACATAATTCTAATAGATTTTTGCATGTTTTGGAGTAATATAAATCATCCAGAACGTGACCTGGAGAGTCTAAACCACATGAATTTCATCGCGCCAACATCAATGGGTGTTTGGAAATGAAGTCTGCTGTAATGACTCATGGAGGAATGACAAGCCTGTGTTAGTACTTCTACAGAATAGTCATCAGATGTTGATATCTGAAAATAGCCGAGCAGCCACCGCTCTCTGAGGAGGCATTTTGGGGAAGAGAAATGGAGGATTTGGAGTTTATCTGCCAAGGAGCTAGACGGCCGCGATGCAGGCGGGAACCCCAACCCCTCCTGCCAACACTCAGGCAGGACCCTGGCTCTGCAGCCACCAGAGCAGCTCCTTTTGCCATCCCGCCTGCTTCCAACAGAGCCAGGAATCAGGAGAACTGCAGCGTTTGCCAATTAAATAACCCAACACTGAGAAACTGCTCTTAGTTGTCCACTGGTTTAAACATTTCCCAAGTATTTACACATCTGTCAGTTCCCAAATGCGACTGCAGTTATCTGCCAGGCAGTACTGCCTCGCAAGGGCAGCACCAAGCTGCTCGGTTTTCCTTGAAATTCTCACAAACTCTTATCAGGTACCCACATCCATGCACATAAATGTATTTAAGCACCATTTTCATAATACTAGAGTTAAGGCTGAGACAGCAATTCCACTGGAAATCTAATTTTTCAGGGATTCATAGCACAGTTGTGTACGTTTGCTGTGGGCTGAACATGACATTAAAAATGTACAAGCTTCCAACAGGTCTTTGCATTTCTAAGACTAAAAAAGACAACTTTTAGACTAAATTTTGCAGGCTGTTACTTACTGTACATAAAGGAGATTTCTTTTTTCAATGTGTAAACCTCTGATATACTAATATTTGAAAATTATCTATCGCACATGCGCAGTAATTTTCTATAATACATACTTGTAAGAACACAATGACAGCTCCCTACAATACTAAGTATAGATTTACCAATGGATTGTTAACTGCTCCTTCGGTCTCTCAGGTAAATCATCTGCACTGTATAAAACTCTGCATGATGGTTTAAGAAAAAATAAACTCACGTCAGGAAATGTAAACACACAAATGGATTTCTAAAACACTGAATTCAGGACGCAGACCAACGACTGCAGGACACGGCACGCCAGGGCCGGCAGACATCCGCAAACCTCCAGCGATTCAGCCTTCCCTGTCATTCACTGCTCAGTCTAAAGAGGAAGCATTAATCAAATTCTTATCCAAAACTAGCCATTTAAGCTTATTTCCTCCTGTTACTACCACGTGATTTTGAACAGTTGTCACTAACATTCTGGAGACACCCAGAAGCAGCATTTTCAAGTGCTTGTTGAGGTCCGTCTTGCCTTTTGCAGTCAAGAGAGCCTCCAAACGCTGTCAAAAGCAACACGCTGTCGCTTGCCTTTCCACATTTCTCAGGTTATTTGGAAACTCTCTTTACTATGCACCCAGAGTCAGCTCTTGTCAGTGCTCTGCGTACTGCACAGTCCTTCCGCTTTTGTGAGGGAGAAGCAGCCAATGTGCATGCTGAAGGAAACAGGTAGGGGAAATTAACATATGCGACAGGACACAACATTTTAAGCAGCCAAAAATCCTCCACAAATTATTTCTTCGTGATGCTATTTAGCTTGATTATGTGCAGGGTGGGATTGACTGGGGTAACGGGGTGGCCTCTGCTTGGTTTGTGGGGAAAGGAGTGATAGAAAGACAGAGGAGTGATAAAACTGCCCTGACCCATCAAAGTTCAAGCACCAACATAAAAGTTTTATGGGTTATTTAAAATAGAAATTCCTCATGAGGCTGGAAGCACATGAATTCTACAAAGGTTATGTTAACTATTATTCATATAGCAAGGGAAAAAAGGAGACCTGGGGCATGCGTGGTAAGGGACACCAGGTGGAACTAAGTGCCATTGTACACAGCCATGTGCAAGGAAGCACAAATGCAGTTAGTAGTTCCACTGCCATGCTCCCTGCAACTGCCCATGTCTGAGCAAGGGAAGCCACGTGCTGCCTGCTCTGATCCAGCAGTGTTTCCACACAGGGTACAGATGGCCCTAGAGCAGCCAAGAAGCCAGCCCTCAAACTTCCCATCTTCATTAAATCCACCCCCAGCAATTTGGGAGTGTTGCTAGTAAGTAAGGTAAGGCAGATTTAAAATATACATAAAGTCTTGGGGAAACAAGATAGAATTAAATCCTACAGTCTAGCCAAAATAAAAATTCATTAAGATATCCTAAGTTCATGAAAGAGTATCATAAATAGCCTAGAGGAGCAATAGAGGGAAGTGAAAGAAGAGAGGTGGAGGGTGGTAAAGAAGAAAACCAAAAGGCGATAAAGGAAATAAAAAGCAGGCAAAGTTTGGGCTGAACTGAGACAACAGCACATCACTACTGCAAAATACGCTTCGCCATTCATGCCCTGATCCGGGAAGAAACGGGAGCACTCAGGGTCAGAGGATTTGTAGCTAGGAGCAATCTGCAGACAAATGTGCACACAACAAGATGTTCAGCCCCATTCTCCAGAGGATGGAGCGCGTGGGCTCACACGCTGCTGCTAGCAAAGTCCTGTTTTCCAAGGTGTCTCCGAATGGCTCAAGTGCTCCAGCAACTCGGAAGAGGGATCACACAAGACTGCACAGCTCTGAAGCACCAATGTGCAAGCACTGACCCTGCAGCAGCAGGGGAACCCCTGGCCTGCCCGCACGCCTTGTCTGCCATTGGGAATCTGATAATCAGACCTTCAAACCCTATGCTTAGGCAGAGTCTTGGGGTTTTCTGTTAAAAGTGCAAGGAGAAAGACTATGGTCCTGACTCTACAACACGCTGGGAGCTCGACTGCTTAGCGAGGTGCTGGCTGAGCACCAAGGCTCGGGATCAGGGAGTGAGAGGGTACAAGATTTAAACCACTGTACCGCTCCTGCTGCACCAGTTGGGCTGACACTAAGTTTTCTGCAACTACAAGTGGCTCCTGATAGGATCTGGGGTTTGAGAAAAAGTGTCCAAGTTACTACGAAGCTATAATTCCACGGAACGAGGGTACCAGAAATCAACTGCCTAACTCAGAGAAAGAACCCAGATACAAAACCAAGTAAAAATAACATCTCTAAACCCAAGTTATTTCTCTCATGCTTATAAAAGGTTGTCATGCACAAAAAAAGCCGCTGTTTTTTTTTTTACAATAAGCAATAGTTCTGTTGTTCTAGACACCCTGCTGTCTAGCTCTTAATCATGTAACACATTTGATTAATACTTACGCCACAGCAAAGTGATGCTTCACTGTTATCTTCACAGTACTTCATTACATAGAAAAGATACATTTAAGAACATATTTAATATTATTCTAATTGCTGCTAAAATACACAAACTTATAAAATGATTTCTCTGGAATCCACGTTTTCTCTCTCCCCAACCCCTACACAAAATAAATAAGTGGATCTTCGGCCAGTCAGAAATATAGGAAAAGCATTTCTTCTGCATTTCAAGATTTTCAGGCTTTAGAACAGAAACCATAGTGTCTACATGAGCTCAACGGGACTGATCTAGAAGGGGTGTGAATCTGACTATGAACTGATGCATACATGCTATTCCTGGTTACCATATGTAGAAGGACCAATCAGTTGAACAAATAATACATTTCTTATAAATATATATGTGTGTATATATATACATATATATGAGAGAGATGATAGGACAGGTGTTTATATTTTAAAGCCCAATACAGAACTAGGAGAGTCTCTGCACTTCCTCACCCTCCCATCAAAACACAACTAAATTAAGTCCAGAAACAGATCACGGCCAATTCAAAACATTTGTTACAAAATTAAAAGTGTGATTTTTTTGTCCTGTACCATAAACTCATACTAATGCTCTGAGTGATTTAGGATATACTCTCCTCCTTCACAAAACTAAACCTCTGCATTTTTTCAAGTCATTTTGCATCTAACTAGAGTTTTTGGAAAGCGAGATAAAATAGCTAGTGCTTAATATAGAAAGTCAAAAATTAAACTCCTTCTGCATCTGAGAATATACATGGGTCACTCTTTGCTGCCTGAGGTTTTCCAGAATTATTGACCAAGCTGTGCACGGAAGAACTTAAGGATACTGGATGAAAGTTTAAGAAAACCAAAAACTTGGAAAAACTCCACCAAAACTTTCTAATCTCTTTTTGGATTTCTTCTCTCTATGTAATCTAACTCACTCTCTGAACCAAGTGAGAACTGTCAGACTCATTTAGACAACGGGAGAAAACTGAAGTCCCATATATATTCCAGCCTACAAAGCAAGAGGCCACTCATCCTCAGCTCAGTCCATGCCAAGCACCTTTCTGTTCATCAAAGAGCAAGACTACAAACATTGTCACATACTGTACTATTACTACCAAAACAATTTCTGTTTTCAAGTTAGCATTTTAACAAGAGTACAGTGCAACACGAATTTTCTTCTGGAAGCTTTAGACACAAGAGTTCATCTGGAGGAAGTGACCAGGAGCTTCTCCATACTGCCACCAGAGCACCACAGCTCCCTTCAACTCCCTCATCACCTTTGAGGGGCGAATTAAACCACACACAGATTTGCACCAAGCAAGTGGCAGCAGAAACATGTGGGAGGCAGTCAGCCTGTCTACACAAACAAATCACCATCTGCTGATAACATCATGCTTCTGAAAACTCCGATAACGACTTCGATCTGTTTTCATTGTGTCAATATAATGAAGATACAGTTACTCCACAACTTCGCAAGCCATTCTAGCCCTCTATGCTCCTTCTTGCCTCTTCTTCAACATGTACTGAATAATAGCATCTATTTTCCTTTAAGTTTCCAGTAGTTGTAAATAGAGGTAGCTGAGCTACTATCAAAAATCACGTTATGCTTTGAAGAGGAGGAACCTTTCAAATGTTGAAGTTACCCCTTAGCTGCACAATCTCTATTAATACTATAAAAATATGAGAGGACAAAAAGAAAATAGATGCAAGTAACTTTTGCATTTGGCACCTTTTGTCTAGATATTCATACTTCTCAAGTATTCTCTTTTTAATAAAGTTAATGCACACATAGGACACACCACATCAAAGGTTTGCTACATATTTACAAGGCACCAACCCTTTTTCACTTTTTACATGAATAAAGAACCGATAGAAAGCACATCAGGACCCCCGTAACTGTAGTATAGACATACTTCAGTTCAGCACAATTCATGAACATTTGGCCTGGGAAGATTAAAATAATCCAGATCCTTCTTACAATATAGAAACTGTAAACATTTTATAGCTGCCTTTAGGATTGGTGTATTGTGCAAAAGTCATAATTATTACTGTGTATAAGGATTTATGGCAGAAACCACATAAAAACTCTGTAAGAAGGTGCTATTTCTATAATACAAAAACAAAACAAGGGAGAGAAGTTGTAATTGTGATTCAAAATGTCATGTTCTTATTGAGAAGCTGGAAGCCTCTTTAATGTGATGAACTTGTAGTGTGTGGGGAAGAATTTCTGTAATTTAAGGCCTAATGAATAAGGCTTGTTTTGACCAATGAAGTGTGGCGATCTGAAGTTTTAAAACAAACACAAACTGACAGAATGGAAAAGCACCACTGTGAAAGGTGAGTGGAGTCCCCGCACAACTTGCTTGGTAGATTTTTCTGGTAAAATCCCTGCAGTAGAAGGCCATTGAAGTTCTTTTTTAAAATTGTTCCAAAGTTTTTCATCTGTCAATAGTTCCATCCCATGAGATGGCTGACCCTGGCTTTTTCTGTCATTTTCCGCACCCTGCCTGACCTGGAAGTACCAAGGTTCAACGGATCCTCGGTGTGCACAAAATTGTCATTATCAGAATCGTCGTTGTACAAGACAGTTCTCCTGCCCTCGTTCCTTGTTTTGATTCGAGGCGGTCTGCTGAACCGCCCTCCAAACACGTTCTCACCAAACTGCCCTCCAAACAGGTTTTCAAACTCATCATCTGTAATTCGGGCACGTTTCGCTCTGGTGGCTCCTCGTGAGGCTCCTCGGCCTCCTCGGCCTCTTCTTCCTCCCCTGCCACCACCTCGTCCTCTGCCACAGCCTCTTCCACCTCTACCACCTCTTCCCCCTCTGCTCCATCTCCCCCACCTCCCCCATCTACCTCTCCTCCCTGTCCCTCTGCCCTGCCAATTCCGTTTCCCACCGCTGAGTTTTCTTTTGATTTTTCTTTTGGGTTTTTTGGATTGCACAACTTTGCTGTAGTCATGGTCTCCATCAATGTAATCCTGATCTGTTCTAGATGTTGATTCAGAGTCTGAATCAGAGCCACTTCTGCTTTCAGAACTTGAACTGGATCCCGACTCCCCGCTTTCTGATGAAGATAAACCAGATTTTTCCTTTAATTCTCTCTTTTTCTTTTCCTCTTCCTCCACCTCCTCCAGGTGCTCATCTTCTTCTGATGCACTTACTAACTTCCTCTTGACTCCTGTCCGAAGTTCTCTGCCATCACCATTTGTAAGTGGTCCGTCAGGAGAGTGATCTAAGCAAACACAAAATAACCCTATTGGTTATCATCATCACACCTGAGCCAAAGAGGACATAAAAAGTGGGATTTGCCTCATTTGCCTTCAAGGTGTGCTCTGGGGATGATCCAGGTCTGACCTACTCACCACAGATGACCTTTATATGCTGTGAAGACAACCAGGTGCTCTAAGGGGAAAACATATCATACAAGCAAACACAGTTCATCTCATCTGGAAGCAAGGACTGAAAACTCTCTTGACTAAGAGTTCAGAAAAGATCCAGTCAATAAAAGGAGCCCAGTGAGTAGGTTAGACACAACTATCTAACATTAAGCCATATGAATCCTTCCTAGGGTGCCAAGGCAGAAAAACTCTCTGAAATCCATTTCAAACATTAAAATAAGACTGTGCAAGCAGTATTTATTCCCCATCAAATGCATGTTCTTAAAAGGCTTAGTCCAGGGAACACTTCTAGTAAGCAAAATTTCAAGACAGTAAATAACCCAAGCAAGCTCACTTAATTAAAAATGTACAAAATATCTTGCTGGCTTGGGATCCAAAATACTACATGCTTTCAGAGTTACAAATCTGATACTGAAGATTAAATATCACCTTAGATACAGGACACTAAAAGCTCACCTGCAACACACAACACTGCTACAGTACAGTAGTATGGACTTGACAAAGGCTTCAGGGTTTTAGCCAATGCTCATTCAATGCTACCTCACTGGAAAGTCTGATTAATACGTCCCAGAGACAATATACTACAGTTTACAAACAGTTTTCCCTTTCTAATCACAACCATTTAGTCTTGATTATGATAAAAACATTGAAATTCTTTCAAACTTTTTCATCCTTGTTTTCAATTTGATTAATAAAAGGCCAAGGTTTTAGGGTGGGGGTTCCTTCAGTTTGCTTTGCTTTTTGTAATTCCTGAAGGACTGTAATTCTCCAGAAGTTTAAGAGCAATCAAGCTTATCCATCCGGAGAAATTTTAAAGGACCTCACTGAAGGGCATGTGGCATCATGTGCATGCCACTCTCCAAACAAAAGTTCTGTAAGAAATAATGTAAATTCAATTCTTTGGTATGGTTTGGGAATACAGTATAATACTAAACTCACACGAGAATATCATAAGCATCAGACAGAAGCAACAGCTTATATTTCTAGTGAAATCAGCCATTCAAATAAGAGAATATTTATTATTTCTCACCTTGTTTCACTGGCGTAGATTTACTCCTGACTGGTCTACTTTTCCCTGGGTCAATGGTATTTCCACTTCGGTTCTGTGCATTTGAGCCTGAGGACGATGGCTGACCTTCCATATCTTCACCAATAGCTGATCCCAGAGGTTCTTCTGCTGTATCTGAAACTTTAGACAGGACACCACTAACGTGACAAAGTAATTTTTATCCCTGTTTACAGAATTGTAATGCAAGGTATCCTGGGGAGGCTCTGTATCACGTGAGTTAATTGCCCAAGTTTGGAGGTCTATCTCACCAAGCTGCCTCTGCAGCCATGAAGAGACAGATTGCCCTGGGGTGCAATCCGAAGTAAACTTAATGTGTTTGTTATTCTTGCATGAGATAAGCCTGTATACAGAAAGTCCAGGCTCTTTTCACTGTTAATTCTTACCTAGGACAGACCCATGTTCCCTATTCTCCTATCAATAACTGACCAACAGCTGGAGGGCCAATTTCAGCTAACACAATCTACAGACAACATGCTTCCATGACCTTGCTACTTGCTCTTTCAACAGGTGGGTTTTGAATGTGTCTCATGACACATAAGCTTTGATCTGCACATACTACTTGCTGCAAGAGAAAAGTTGCGTTTTAGAAAACTTCTTACCATGAGATGAAACTGAAGAGCTAGTCCTAGTCAAAGGCAGTGAGGTATTCTGGCTGGGTTTAGGTTGAATCTTCATTTGTTTCTGTTTCCCTTTTGGGCTGAAGACACAAAATATCCCAAAGAGATAAAACTGTTAGCATCAAAAGACTCAAATACAAAACTGATTTTTCCCTGCAAAGTTCCTTGCTTTCTGAAGCAAACGTATAACATAAGTGATCTCTTTCCCAGTACTTGCACAGGTGTAGTTAACACTAAAACTAGTTACAATATCATTCTGTTTGCTACAGACATATGAGTTTGCAAGAACAATATTTTATCTCACCTTCTAAAACAAATACTCTGTTTACTTACATAATGTATTACACACAAGTCAGCAAAGTGTTAGACAACACTTTTTTCCAAGAGTTACTAAACAAAAGCAAAAAGAAACTTGGTCTTCCATTTCCTCCAGAGGGAATACTTCTAGAATTATGCACAAACTATAGATTGAGCATGGAATTTGAGCTCATGATTTTATTACCTAATAGAGCAACTGCACCAGGAAAGGAGACCTACTGTTGCTGACTGCTTATGCACAAAGGCAAGTCTACCGCTGGCATTTCAAATGACACTGAAAGCAAGTCCCACGAGCATCATGTTACCTAGATGCTCTGCTAGTTGAGGGTGAACTGCTACTGCTTCTTAGCCGTTTTCGGTACCGTGTCCTTTTCCTCTTCTGACATTGCATTGCTGACTTGTACTCAGAGATGATATTTTTCATATGATTTTCAAATAAGGCAGATAGTCGAAGCGTCATGCTGTAAATCTGGAGTGAGAAAGCATCGTCATATTTATTAGAAGCTGAATAACTAGAACATCAAGGAAGAAAAAAAAAAACCAATCACAGAGATGCCCACACTTTGTAGCACAGAAGAAAAATTCATGGTGACATTCAGCTACAAGGTTCTTTAAAGATAATTCCCTTCTATGGTACACGCGTTTTCTCACAACAGAAAGTGTTTTCATGAAAAGATGTAATTACTTACAGTACAAAATACTTACAGGGTTAAAGGAAAACGGGTATCTAGATTACTGAAACATTAAGCTCCAGAACACATGGAACTGTGTCATAAGATAACTTGAAGTACCAATAAATAAATAAATAATCAAACTTTGCTGCCCTCTCACCTTTGTTATTTGCTTTAATTCCCTAGTGATGCATCCTCATACCACCCCTACAGAGATGCACACAGAAACCAACTAAAATGTCCTCAAACCTAATTTCTCTAAGCCAGATGTCAAAACCCTTAAACTGTTTTCCTGTCCTCTTTCTAGGCCTTCCCTCTTGTAGCCTCATCCACAAATTCACTCCTGGCTACTTCTCCATGTTTCAGATTGTATTTACCTCTGTTCAAGATTTTACCTTGGGTGTATTTAAGTCTTGACAAACTAATAGTTCAAAGTTAGCATAAGCCAAACAAAGTTCTTGATTGCTTTCTTATACTCATACCCTTCTTCTGCATCCGGTCTTCCAAAATTGCGTAAACACCATCAAGGACATGTTATCATCTCACACTCAGATATCCTCCCATTTCCTGCAGCCTGTCTGAACATGAAATCTCATTGACACAGAGTTTTCTTTACATTCATGTAACTTAATTTTTGACCAGACCCTTGCATTTGAGCAATGTCTCTTTCTTCAGTTTCGGTATGTAGAACCCTATCTTTCCTGCCTCCATTCATGATGCTGTTGCAAAGATGGCAAAATGGGTTAGAAAACCTCAGGACGCTGGCTCACATTTGGCAGCACAAGAACCTGCAGTGGCAGAAGGCCCAGCTGTTTGCCCCAGCTCTCAAGCAAGGATCACCTCACTGAGATGCTTCACAGTATTTAAACAAATGGATATTGATGGGCCACTCCATTGAAGTAATTTGGGACTTGACTCACAAGCTGTTCAGTTATTAATACACAAGGAAGTTCCCAGGGAGCATGCAGCAGTAAATAACTCACCAAGATTACTCTGATGTCAAGCACTCATAAAACACCCTCAAATCACTTTTCTTCTTGCAATCCTCTACTGATTTCCCTTCTATTAAAGCGAGCAAAAGTTATTGGGCTTTACCTGCAGAGCTTACTCACAGCACACCTTTCAGCCTTATTCAACACCAAGAGTTCAATTTACCTTCAGCAATGGCAACTTTGTGCTTTCTCTCACACTCATTTAACACTTGGCTGCAGTTCCCTTCTCCCAGAGCACCAGCCTACTTCAGGCTTACTCTCATTGTCTTGCTTACACAAAACACAGTAGTAGTCATTCCACTGATGAGCTAAGACTGTAACTCCTCAAATGATGAGTAAGGTTGCTCAACCTCCTGCTTCCTCCCATCCAATACCTTTGACACTCGCACTGAATGCTCTTTGCAGCACACTCTGCTCCTTCTCCTGCATGACAGCGCCTTGTGTCACACCATGTTAGATGCCACATGAAAATTCTATGATAATACCAAATTCTATGTATTATTGTTTTGTATTGTATTATTGCTTTAAGTAATAGTGTCTCTGTCTAGTCCCACATTTCTTAGTAGTTTATAAGTGCTCCTGTTTCCACACAAGAAATATTAGGCAACTTTCTGACCAGCCACCTTATCTATCCTATATGATGTGTTTCAGAGAAGTGATTTTGTCACAATGTAAGCATCTTATTGAATACGCAGCTTTTCCTTACAATAATAAGGTCAGTACAATTTAACGTCTGGAAACATAAAAGTAGACAGAATTTTGAGTATATTTTGAATACATCAACTGCTCTAATTCTATTTTGCATCAACAGTTTCTGAGAACCTTTAAGTTCAGATGAAAATAAAATTCCAAAGTGATCTGCATGAGCAGAACAAAGCAAATTTATAACCATAGCTCCCAGAATTGACATAAAATACTTATTTTTATTTCACAATGCAGTGCTTTGGTCTTCAGACACAGACCTTATTCCACCACTGTATCCATGTGGAGCCAGAGTTTTTGCAAAGAAGGCATTAATATTTATTACTTACTCGAGACTTTTTATTAGGAGTGTAAGCTTTAGAGTTGCAGAATATTAAACGAATATCTTTGTAGAATTCCAAGGGACTAACATAGTTTCCTGCTTCCAACGTTTCTTTCACAGTGCTGAAGTCCATAGGAGTGTCTACAATATCTCGATAATCCTGTAAGAATACACAAGTAAATAATAAAGGCTGCCAAGTCCTACAGCAATAAAACTACCGAAGTGTTCATCCACAACAGTGGCTCAAGTAATTATTTCTACTTGAGAGTTACTGCAGATAATTCTCTGAAAACAGAGCGCAGAACATGGTGTGTTCCAGCTCATAAAGGGAGAGGTGAGAAACATGCCCAACATGCACGCTTTGCCAAAGGATAAGCAATAGACTTTTTTAATTTTGCATATGGAAGGAGTACTTACAGGGTAGGAGAAGAGATCAACTGGCTGTCTAAAAGGCTCAGAGTCCTCTCTTTCATAAATCAGGTTTAACAACTGCTTGCATTGTTCTTTCCAAGCATCAGGACTTGCTTTCATGGGCTGCCTTTTTATTCGTCGTCTTACCTGTAGGGAAACAGAGGTATTTCATAGTTTTTCAGACTATTCATATTTTTCAATTTTAGTTCCCATTAATTTACCAGCTTTCTGACTCAAAGCAGATTTCCACAATTAAAACCAGAATTGCAGTCAGATGAAAGCGTAGCTGATGGCACAACAATACGCAGTATGCAAATTGCAGAAATACGCCTTTTCTGGTAACACAGAACCACTCAAACCCATGAGAGGTATGCAGTATTTCAGATCCAGCCTTGTTATTTTTATCAGCTTTCATCCAAATTTGACTGAACATGGAATCTGTTCTAGTGTCTTTCAAATCAAATTAAAAAAGATTCTTCAGCAGTAAGTAAATTTTCCTGCACGATAACTTCCTTAGTCTGCCAACACTCACATGTACATGCAACTGAATTCACACAGTTAGGCCTACAGACTGTCAGCTATGACAAATTTAGACCATTCCAGACCTAAATGAGTGTTTCAGTACCTGGTCTACCTCCCTTCACAAGCCAGACCCAGCAGAAACGTTTACTCACTCGTCTTTTTCCAGAGGAAGTTCCTGGAGCATCTGAATCTTCATCTACTTCTGCCACCTAAAGGCAATGATAATGATTACACACACGCATGTTGTACACAGCCCCAGCCATGGAAAAAAAAAAGTTAAAAACCAGGTATCAACAACAAACACAATTTTAAACTAGTCAAATGCAAAAAATGATTCAAGAAAACCAGAAACTAGTTTCAAACTAGAACTTACATAACTTAAAAAAAAAAAGGACTTGGGTTAAGCTGTTTCATCTCTTTTCCAAGTTCCCTTCCATAAAAATTATATATAAACCATGTAAGAAATACGAATGCTGAGCCCTTAAGGCTCAGCAAAGTCCCAGGCTTGCAGAGCTGTATTCCCCCACCTAAATGACCATGCTCTGAGCAGCTGAGTTTATTCAGGTTTCATGTAGGCACACTTACATCAAGTGTAAGTAATATTCTTTTCAGAATCTGGATTTAGAAATTACAACAAAACCTCCTTTGTACACAGCTTCCTACCAGTAATTAAAAATACATTCTTTTGAAAGGACAGGAAAGTTTCTACAAAAAAAATCTAAAAGCAATTTGTTTCTTATTTTGAAACACTTTACAAACCAAACCATATTAGAAAGCAGGTCTTGGAAAAGCTGGAGATAAAGGAATGGCGTATATCAGCAATTTTGGACACTTCCGATCATTTTTTGACATGGAACAGATAAGGTTCACAACTGGCACAAGAAGGTTAAATTGAGAAAGGAGGGTCTGCTATCTAAGTCAAGGAAATCCCTCATTTTCTTCAAAATACTCTTTTAATAATCTGTGAAAATAGATACCATTATGTATCTTCAGTTTTATAAAAGCAATTAAATTATTACATTGCAGTATAGATTCAGCAACCTGGTCTAGTGGGAGGTGTCCATGGCAGGGGGGTTGGAACTGGATGATCTTAAAGTCCTTTCCAACCCAAACCATTCTATGATTCTGTAATATAAATCCAAGACGATGGCATCAGCCATAAGCACATTGGTCTTCAAGCAGCATCAGGTTTAACTTAAGTATTTCAAAACTGCAACAATGAAGTACGTCTTAGGGAAGGGAGGAGACAAGAAACCCCCTAATTAAATCTTATACTGGCTCGTGTACTAGAAAGCAACACTGAAAAAGTAAAACCAAGTGATGGAGGTTATAATAGATCACTTCTTTGCAACAGGAACTACAGCACATTTCAAACTGTTTACAAACTGCATTTAAGGGGAGAAGGTCAGGAGAGAGAAAAAGTTAAAGCGAGTGGTACCTAACTTGGTTTCTACCTGTTATTTCACTCCACAGTACAAATGATGGGAAATGGCACAGAATTACATAAGAAAACCAGCTCTGCTGCCTTGCTAACAATAGCAGAGCTGTTGTCCTTCTGGTTCGGCAGCCTGAGTAACCACTCCAGGTCATATTTCCCCTACTGACTAAAACTTCCTCACACCCCAAAACATCATGTGCTGAGAGAAGGTCAAAGATAGGCAGTTCCAGGAATCATTTTTACTTACATAAGGAGCTTATTCCCCAGGTGAGCAACATGAACAGCTTAAATAGGCTGATCTCAAAAACTCAGTGCAACTACCCATAAAGTAAAAAACTCAACAACAATCTTTGCTCAAATTTCTTACAAGTGCTGAATTTAAAAAGGCAAGAAGTTCTGATGATCAGACTTAATGGTCTTACCTCCTCCTCTTCATCAGTACTGCTTAGATCTTCTGCTTTCACCTTGTTATATATTTCTAATATATCAGTACAACTCTGATCCCTGCAAGACAACAAGAAAAGCCAAAATGCATAATCAAGTATCTCAGAAACTTAAGACATCAGGTCTGTAATGCAAAAACCAGACCTACCCGATGAAGTGAAGTAAGACATCCGTTACAATTTTGGCTGCTTTGACTATAGGACTGTCTGGCTCATTGAAGGTTCTGGCGTTATGTTCTATGTATCGTACCTCCCACATCAGGGCAGAGATTCTCCTGAAAAAAACACAAACAAAAGAGATGGAAATGTGCACATTTTTCATTCTGAATCCAGTAGGATTCCTCATTAAAAAAAGGAATCAGGTAATTAAGGTCCAGGAGAAACAGGTTGCTAGACACCAAGGTAAGTGGTTTCTGTTCGCATACTGCTGACAGTCCCGATGTGCCAGGCTGCAATAGCTTTGTGGAAAAAAATGTCCCTCTTCAAATCAGCAATGAATGGAATAAGAAGAGGAAACAAACCTACTGAAGACGACTGCTGACTGCTCCCACTTAGAGGAAGCCTTAGAGGTAAAGTGGTCCTCAGAAGGAAAAAAAAAAGAGCAGAACATTATCTATCTTCAACTTAACTGGAAAAACTGAGATTTCCAGTTTACAGCGCTATTTAGCCCACTGCTGGCAAGTGAAATACAAGGCAAAGCATCTACTTCAAAGGCAGTAGAGATAGCAATGAAGTAAATACGCTCTGCCTGCAAGGCATCCAGGGAGTAAGGCTCACAAAAAAGACACTCCAGATTCAGATAAACCAGCTTCTGCCTTAGCAATGTGGCCAAAAGAAATTATTATTCAGGAAGACTCACTTTGCCCAAGGTCAAATAGAACCTGATGCTGTTGGCTTACCAAAGAAATATATTGCAGAAATAGCATTACATGGCATTCAGCTAAACATGTTGTCCTCAATGGGGCTGTAGTAAAAGTAGATTACAAACAAATAAAAATTCAGCTAACCTATAAAACCTGTTTTCAAGTCTCCTCCTGATTGTGGTGAGGTCAGTTGGATAAGCAACAACAGTGCAATACATGGGATAGGCACTAAGGTCCACTGGAACAGCAAAGGGATTAGAAATGTCTGAAAGACAAAAGATCAAAATAATTCAGATGCCTCAGAAGAAAACTGATGGAAGATTTAAGAACTAGATTCCTTAAAATGGTTTCTCAGTTTTCTCTCAGCAAAAGCAATACAGATCTACAGCTGGCTATGTCATTACCCAAAGGATAGGATTCTTCCTCTTGTACCATCTGTTAACTACTCTTGAAAAAGCATTTTTTGCTTAAGTATCACATTTGAAATTTGCATCCGTATTGCTAAAAAGCAACCTGGCATATGCTCTTGCTACAGGAATATTACAAGCAACATAAACTAAGAATATAGACATGTGTATAAATATAGTAAAGAATTTAAATCATAGTGTGCTATTAAACAGCTACAAACCAGTTACAATGTATTTGCTGGTGAGGATGCTTGGCGAGGATTTGTTGGTTGTTTTTTTGAGGGGTTTAATTCAACTTTTTGCTTTTTTATATTCACATAGGACCCACTAAAAACCCCCATGAACTTGAAAGGAAGCAGCTCCAGCCCCCCCTCAAAAGGGAGTGTAACTGAAAAAGACACCATAGGAAATTTTAAAGGCTCTTTTCCAATGATTTAGTTGAACACATTTAAAATATTCCACACCAACTCCCAGCACTCCATCCTATCTGCTCTCCAGGCATGTGCCACCACAATGGTACTCTTAATCCTTCCCCCTTTTCTCTCCAAACGTACCAAGGGAAAGAAGTTGCTCAATCCCCTGGATTACTCGTTCACATTCTTCATCTCTGGAATGGGCCCCCCATTCTCCTTCCTGGGGTTTGTAAAGAAGAGCTGTCAGCTCATCTGGAGTCACAGGAACTCCAGCACCAACCTCCTCCGGATACGCAGCTGAAGAGGAATTCAACAACAGTAAGTACCAGCAGTGGCAAAAATGACTTACTTTGCATAAGGACATGAATTCAACACACACTTACTTCCTTCTGGAATCGGTTCCATGTCCCATGGACTCATCCTCTCTCTTTCATTATTGTCCCAGCTATTAAAAAAATACGTTCAAATGCCGAATAGTTAGAGCGGAATATACTGACACACCTTCTCTCTGCCAGACTTAAAAAGGTCATGCCTATTAGAAACAAGACGCGACACTAGCTATGTTCCAACTCCTTACTTTCCTCTTGTATCTCCTATATGTTCACTGCACAGCTGCTCACATGAAAAGCTTTGTTTTATGAATAAGTCAATTATTAAGTAAATAAAGTGGCTGTTCATGTATTTAAACGGAAAAAAAAAGGATCCTACTTCTAGAGGTAGACATTTAAGTTGCATGTAAATGCCTAGGAGACCTAGAGCATGTAAGTATGTGTGATACATTACAGCTATGCAAGTACTTACTGAACACAGTAGCACTGGAAGGAACTATCTGGATATTCTGCCTGGAAAGGCTGCTGACTCTCCACAGTTCCAAACCACCAAGCATCATCTATTATACTGCGAAATCTATCCCCTAGGAGGAAAAAGATTGCATGCAGCAAAAGAGCAACATAAATAATTGTTAAATACTTCTTTTTAGAGAATCTACTTCATCTTTTGTAAATGCACAACTTCAGTTTTTACATTTTACACTACAGGAATCAAGCCCTTCCCCAAAAGGGAGGACTTTACATCTCTGGTAAATAGTCACAGCTGCCTCCGTGCCTCAAATCACAATATAACAGCAGATTGTTCTGCTTGCAACAGTTTCCCTCATTTCCTTTTTTTATCTGCTACAGAAATTGCAGCAAACATCAAATAAAGTTTCCAATGATTGCTGTAATAGCATGTGCAGTAAATCTCCTGAAGAATGTCATCAGTATTTCAGTTCCTTACTTTATGGAAAATGATTCTCCTGTCATCTTGCCTGTGACTGGATCTAGGAATGCAAGCTTCAAGCAGCAGAGTGTAGGAGGCCCAACTTCATATTTAATTCCTACAGTCTTCACAAATTCTTGTTCCTATTTATCAATAACCCTTTACATTGCATAATAGAGATGCTGTATCCTACTAAACAGCTACAGAAATGTTGTAAAACATATGGAAGCGTTAAAAAATAGTCACCTATTTGCCAGTTCCTTTCTTTGGCTTCATTATAAAACTGATGCAGCACAAGGAAGTCAATAACATCTGGCATATCATGGTACCTTCATGAAACAGACAAAAACAATTGCTTCTATAACCCATAAACACAGTTCCATATGTACAATACAGTCTCCAACACAAAATTTCATGCATTCTGTTTTCAGGTTTGGCGGAATAACTAATTAAAGCCATCATCATGCTTTGCAAGAGTAAAAAGAAAGGAGGGTAGGGAGAAGCTTCTAAACAGCAAGAAAATCTCCTGAAGAATGTCATCAGCATTTCAGTTCCTTACTTTATTGAAAATGATTCTCCTGTCATCTTGCCTGTGATTGGATCTAGGAATGCAAGCTTCAAGCAGCAGAGTGTAGGAGGCCCAACTTCATATTTAATTCCTACAGTCTTCACAAATTCTTGTTCCTATTTATCAATAAGCATGGAACAGTATTAACTTGGTAACAACAACGAAACCAGCCATGTTAAAGTACCAAACATACTAATAAAAACCAAATATGTTTCCACTTGACAGCCTAGGTAACTTCACCCATAAAAGTCTTTCAAGTAGTAAAAAAACAATGACAGGCATCTTAAAAAGATGAATGAAAAAGATATACGGTGCTCAATTCCTTTGTGAATTTGTGAACAGGATACCCACAAACTATATAACTTTTGTAATAAAGTGCTAAGCAACACACCGACTCTGGTTATACCTGACCAGCCCAGGGCCTCTCACCCTCACACAGCAATTTACAGGGGAAGTAAAAGGAAATGCTTCCTCTTGAAGCGGAAATTCAACAATAGCCTTTATGTTCTCATCCTGTCAAACATCAGCTGGTGGTAAGATCTCTACCCTCAGTGAAATGCTATTTCCTTTTCCTGATGATGCCTTTGAAGATTACAGCTGGAATCACTGAACACCTAGGACTAGTAACTGGATATTTTTTCAGTAAAGCAATTATTTTCATTAATAGAACCACTGCCATATACATATCTATGTGCTCTTCTCTTGGTATGAAATCTGAGTAAAGCAGAAAACATATGTCAACACTGTGGATTAAGTATTAAGGGACTGAGTGGTTCAAAGCAAAAGGATAAGAAAAATCAACATAACTATGTAAACTCAGTATTTACCCAAGCAATCCATAACACTTTTATTTTGTAAAAATATGTTGTAAGACATTGTCTTCCAGGAATTTAAGAAGATATGCAATTTATATGTTTAGCTAGATCCACTGTTTAGTAGAGATTGTGCATACATTTGGGTCTTTACACCATGATGTCTTCCTAATACAACATTAAAAACAGTAAATAGAACCTAGATGTTCAGGTCATTGTGGAGTCCTGATAAAACTATAAACACAATTTCTGAGTGGTGGGCTCTAAATGAATGAACTAAAAAGCCCAACAGAGCCATAAAATAATTTGGGTTGAAAATGACCCCTGAGAGTCATCAAGTCCAAAATCCTGCATGGGGCAGGATCTTACAGCTAGCTTAGATCAAGCCACTTAGAGGTTTTCCCTCTCAAGCTTTGAGAAGCCCTCAAGGATGGAGATTCCATTTCTCTCTGGGCATCCTGTTCCAGTGCTTAACTACTCTCACTCTGACTTTTTATATTTATTTAGTATTCTACTTTTTTTTATCTATCAAGCAAGAATGCCACACCAGATAAACTTCCACATTCTTTAATATCCTGGCTTCCTATGATTAGGAATTGAACAGATGTAAAAGCTTTGTCTAAGGAAACAGTCACTTTAAGATTTACAACTTTAAATTTATATTAACATTTTAAACTAATGCAGGTTTTCAGTGTCTACTTTACAGAGACATTCAGCTCTTTGAAGTATTTGCTTAACTTACCCTGAGTTCCATTTTGTTCCATGGTTGTTTTTGCATGTTAATACTGTAAATTTTTGCTTTCCTTACTGCCCGCACGTAAGCTTCATGGCCTTGCCTGAAGTATATGATCTTAAAACAAAAATTAAAAGAAAACAATATTAGTTTACTGATAGTCCTTTTCCTGTTTATTCTAAAATTTCTATGAAGACATCAGGCATCATCCCTTTCAGAACATACTGCACACTTCATTTCATTCTAAAGCATGCTCCTCCTTAAAGATATTGGTATTATCGGTAGCACCCTGCTATGTGTTTTCTAACTTGGGATCACTAAGAAGTGTGCAGGTTTGTCTGAAGACACACAATCAACTCTTCCTGCTAGTCACACGTGCACAAAAAGGGAACAGGACTGCCATCTGTAAACAACTGACTGCTTGAGAATAAAATAAAAGTTATCACATTTCAGCCTATCTTGAGCATGACTCACCAAAATTATTGCTATGTACAATAGTCCTGACCAAAAAGAGCTCATCAGCCTAGCTGGGGTATTTAGAGTTGCTACAATCAGTACCTCATCTCCCATTTGTGGGACAAAAGGTGAGCGGCGGGGTATAGTATCCAGGATCCACTGAGGGGCAAGCCATTCTTCACTGGGTTCACCTTCCATCGAAAGCAGTCCACTTGGTTTCTTAAATATATTGCATTAAATTTAGAACACAAGTTTTATTTAATATGGCAGAACATATGAAAATTGATCATACAGTAGTTATCAAAGAGAACTAGGTATAAGGTAAAGCAAATGCTGGAATTTCAAACTTCCAAAAATCTCAATTAAATAGTAGGGAATAAGTCATGTTTGTTAGAAATATAATAGAAGGTTAAAACACCCCTCCATAAAGAGATTATATTTCTTTAGAAACATTCTAAACATCTTCTTTAAAAGGACGACAATGTAGATGCAATACAGATGCATTGTAATTTTACTACAAAACCACCTTGGAGTAAATCTAACTGTAGTGAAAAGCATAAATTCATAAAGTAAAAAAAAAAAAAAAGACACTAAAATGTTAAAAATACTGACCTTTTTTCTAGGCTGTTTAAGTTTCCTTCGTTTTGGCTCCAGTTCTTTTGTTCCCTTCATATTTTCATCTTCAGAACTACTACAGATTTTCCGAGCTGCCTGCCTGGTCTGTCTCTTTGGAGGCTGGAGATTAATTCCAGCATCTGCTGTCCAGTCAGAATACTCACTTGATGAATCACTGCAGATAATAAAAAGTTGTAAGAAAGAAAACAACACTTCGGTTTTCACACAATAGAGTGAAAAGTCCAAACATTCAACCTGCTCTTCTGGTTGTGTGGAACAGATGTCAGGATTGGCACAAAATTTCATCCTCAGGTGAATTTAAAGGAAATGAAAGTGCCCTCTAATTTGTGCATTTCATCAAATTATTTTATCTATTGCTAACTCACGGCGAAAATACAGTTATGGCTGATACCTATTTTCATACTAATTATCTCACTGATTCATAGACTGACTTCATGAGAACAGACTGCACAAAATGCATGAAAAATTTAGAAAACTAGAGCACGTCTAAAAATATAATTCTGACTTCTTTAATATCCAAATAACATGTGCAGTATTTATATTAGCTCATAGCCATTCTAGCCATAAAAGCATAGCATTAAGAAAACAAAGAGACTGCAGAAACTTTGCACAAATACATACTGACAACAGGAAAATTAGGAAATACTGAAGTATGAGTAGAAAATATGTATGCACTTCTGTCAGTATTTCTATTGTCAAACTAGCATTGTTTTTTTTTCAAGCAGTTCTTAATTAAAGACAACATTTTCTTACAAATGGTCTTTCAAAACTGGTTATGACTGAAAAAAACCTCACAAAACAAAAAAACACATTATAAAATGTTTCATAAAGAACTGGGAAAAAAAGTCTTCAAATTAGGAAGTTTTCAGACTGGTTTTCTGTTTAAATACTGTTATCAAACCCTCTGCAATTACTTAGTCACTCAGATAAAATCATTTGTCTGTTCGCAGACGCCACAAATTTTGTTGGTTATCATTTTAAACTACCGAAGTGTACTAAACACTATGTTTAGGTCAGTATAACAAACCTGTGCTGAGTTGTAGTTATGGTATCACAGTATCACCTGTCTTATTTAATTTATGTAATAAACTAATGTTACCAATTAAGAAAGCAGTAAAGATACCTGGAACTGCTTTCACTTTGCCATGCTGCCACAGGATCATCCATAGATGCATCACTTGTGCCAACAGTCTCATCTTCCTGTATGAAAAACAAAAGGATTCATTTTGAGGCCATGTTTAAAACGTATCATTTTTGTTTGCAAGCAAGTTATGTGAGTTGTCTCATTCAAGGAAAGTTTTCTAATTCAGGACTGGTTTAGCTTTAAAAAAGTCTACAATTTCTTTCTGTATATTAATTAGTATTATACTGTACACTTATATAACTCCTATAGAAAGAGATGTGAATTTTAATGGCACTAGAACCGTGAAATTAGTTCTTACTTATGTGTTTGATCAATAATGTTTAGTGTCAAGTGACCACCTTTATGGCTATTCCGTATGTTCAATGCATTTACAAAGTGACAATGTTCAGTCTCATTTTACTTTGCTAGCTTCCTTGATGAGAACAAGTTATATGTAATCTGGTATGGTTTAGGTTCTTCCTTTGCCAATATCAATGATTAATACCAATACTCAATCTCTTTCAACAGCAGTCTACAGATGCAGATGAATATGACCTAGAATATATATGCTTTGTGAAATCCCGAAATAGAAAGTGGTTTAACATAACCCAGTTAAATTTACTTGAAAAATGTTTCAAGTTTCCAAGATTACCCAACCTATTTTAAGCTCATTTTGAATACTGTGCTGGCATTTAGGTAAATGGTCCTTAAGTCTCCAAGATCAACATACTACAGTAACACCACAAACCCAAAAGACTCAATGACCCGAGTGTTTCTTCCTACATGGAGAAACTTGGAGCCTTAATGGCTCAGCACATTTGTTGTCAAGCCCCGATATTTGTGAACAGGGAGCCTATTGAAAGAACTGTGTGACGTGTCAAACCTCTGAGGAGCTGTCTGATTCTCCTCGTGCACAGGCATTTTGACTTGCGCCTTGCTGACTGTGTTCTATGGTGGAGCGTGTTTGGTAGGCATGCTGGCGCTTGCGTTGGTTTCTTCTCAAAGACCTTCCACTTCCCGGCTGGTAATCGTTCTTTCATGGGACAGAAGGAACAAAAGAAAAAGATTAGAGACTTAATAGTGAATTACACAGCTAAAAGATGTCTCCTTAAGGTGATTGGATGCTGATTGTCCATTTACAAAGGACCACTAGGGAATCTAGACCTAGAATTGAATAGATATGTTTTACACACTTGTGTTTCATTTTAGTGGACATGCAGGTGTGTTTTTTTGGTTCAATATCAATTGTACTTTTTAAAGTAGCAGTCCTTAGAAAGGAAGTTATGCATATTTAACATTGCTATTTGCATATTAGAGTATAAAGGCAGACAAATTAGTTACAGAAGGAAGACAGAGAGTCAGAGATCTTCTAAATAATTAAATAAAATTGGTCTGGTTTTTTTTTGTTTGTCTTTTATTACTCAGTGCTCAGAACTGCTTCACCTCCAGGTTTCCTCTTCTAGTGATTTAAACTCACCCGCTGTAAGGTGTGGGATGGCTTTCTCTTCTTTTCGACAGTGTATAAACTAATTTCAATTTCACCTTTGGCAGCTCGACATTCTTCCTGGACCCTAATTATACATAGGAAACATCCTCTTTATTCAGTGAATCATCACATAACTTGACAATCTCATTAATATACACATTAAAATACTTCTGGTCCCCATGCTATTAGAAGTGTGTGCACAAGTCCTCCTAGTAGTGCCCACACATCCTTCACTCCTTGAATCACATGTTAAAGAAGCAAACTTGTTAGTTGAGCATGCATAATTATTTAAGTAAATTTAAATGTATTATAAATATTTATAAGTTTGAGGGTTTTTTAAACAAGGCTTCAGAAAAATGTGGTATTTGAAGTACTGAAGAAAGATTCACTTGTGAAGAGAAGGAATTGCTATTCTCAACTCTCCAGCAGAGGCTACCACTGCAATCCTAATATATGGATTTGAAAACAAAAAACCCAACCAACCTACCCCCACAAAAGCCAACACATTTCTAAAAACCCATGTTTTAAACCTGATAACAGGTGTACAGAAGAATCACTAAAAATTACACTATTTAATCTTTTTTCTCTGTCTCACTTAGGATCTTACTTGCTTATGCCTGGAGGAAGCTCATTCACCACTACTCTCCTGCTCCATGCCATGAGATCTCTCTCAGTTGCCATTTGACTGCGGGGAGCATTGTGATGCATTTGACGGACCCCTTCAATCTGACCACTTCTCCGGAGACCAACGTTTGGTGGAGATGCAACATCCAAACCTGGACTTCGAAGAGCTAAAGAAGAAAAAGGTTTTCTTCACTTCTATAAACCATGAATAAAATCTAGAATTTAATGATTAAGGACTGCACAGAGGTTCTTTTTTTGCAATAAACAGCACTTGTTCTATGTTAAGTGGCTTTGTCTCTTGCTTCAGATTAACATTTTTGTGTATTGGCCTTGGGCTACTGGAGATGTATATACTACTGCAACATCACTGTGGCTTGCTATATCTTAGAGATAGCTGAGGAAAGCAAAGATTATTATCTATGAGAAAAGTTTTAAAGGCTTTTAAGTGACCTTCAAATCAAAGCCTTGTCAGCTGCTTTAAGGTTCTGAAATCATGAATCTCTAAATTCTATGGTACGAGAAGAGATGAGGTTGACATCTGAGGTAAGACTGCTGCAAGGTTTAAGGTTTCTGCTGCACCTCCATTTGTTCTTTATTTGTCAAGCTTATCTAATGAGCCACAGGCACTGCTCCTGCTCCAGGCTTTATCAGGTAGCATAACACAACACAGTTCTACATGCACAGGAGAAAACAGACGCTTCAGGTAGCAAAGCAAGACAAAAAGACTGATAGTACCAGAATCACTGCCACCATTGCCTGTATTTGTCTCATCATTTGGGAATGCATCAATATGACTTCCACATGCTTAAATATGGTTAACCAGATGAATATATTGCATTCACAGGTTTGCAATCCTGTATAAAAATATTTGGCCATTTAAATATCAGGTACTTTATACATACTCTAATCAGGTTACACAAATGGGCAGTTCATGCAGCAAAGTCATTGATCAAGTTCTTGAAACTAGCTACTTTAATTTCTATACCACTCATATCTGGAAATTCCCTTTCATACAACTTCAGGGACATACAAATAAAATTGAGAGCTGGGATTGCACAACGCATCAACTGATCATAAGAAGCAGAAAAGAATTCTGGTGCATTGAAGCCGGCATCTAGGCCACTTTCTTGATAACACCAATTTAGATCAAAGCAAAAGCATAATTTCGGTACTTTTCACTAATATTTTTCCTAGTCTTTCTTGAATCTAAAGACAAGCAACTCCAAATCTAGCAATCCTAATGAGCTTTGCCAGGAAGACTAATTCAAACATGTGTAATCAGCTATTTAAGCTAGAACTAATTTATTAGTGGATGTAAATCTTTTAAAAGCTCAGGATGACTTGCAGCACAAGTCCACAGCATCTGCTCTCTTACATCAACTGCACTCAGTCAGCTGTTCACATCTGATTGAATTTGTTTTAAATTTTTAATCACTTTGTATATGAAGAATAAAATCACAGTAGCAGAACACTTACCAGGAGAATAATCTCAAGCTTTCTAAGGAAACACTAAGACAGAGCAGACATGTTTATTTTATAAACATTGATGCTCTGCCTTAGCATTTATGCTGCAACAGGAAGCCATTAGTCTGTCACAACATTTTATTCCATTGACATTCTCTAATTATATGCTGTTATCTTGTCATTATGCAGTTACAAAGTATCATCTCTGCAGTAACTAGCATCAAGACAATACAGTGAATTTTATATTTATTTTTTAGGAAAGATTTATAACAGGAATAATTACAGTTTAATAGTTCTAGGTAATCAGATACAGCTCAGTTAGACCATCATGTGCCCTCAGCTGCACCTTAAATTCCTCTGCTAGCATCAGAGGAATGTGCAACCGCTCCACACAGGTTAATGATGTGTATAAGAACAGGAGAGAAAAGCATCCTCAAAGACACAGTCTCAGAGCTTACATTAACATGTTTTGATTAGTGCTTTAGGAAAAGAAATGATGGCAGTAACAGAATGACACTTACCTCCATTTACAGAGTGGGATCTATTGAGTGGAGGGCTTGGAAGAGTTTCTCCTTCATTAATTAATCTCAGATCTTGTTCCCTCTGTAGCTCTCTGATCATTCCATCAAGGATACTCTCATCCTGGTCATTAGTTTGCTGCCCAATGACTTGTTCAACTACTTCACCATCACCTTGACAAGAACAAAGCCACAAACGCTTATAAAATGATTAATTCCTGTTTTACTGAATACCAAAGAACCAAATGTAAAACTGTGCACAATTATTTGTCTGCTTTGCAAAACATCTGATCACCAGCTGGCCTTCTGCTCTCATGCAGTAAATGGAGGCAAAGTTTAAAAGAGAAGTTACAATAAAAACCTAAATTTACAGACTACACGTAAAATACAAACACAAACCCCTAGAAACAGCTGAAAGAAATTATGTTTCAGTAGGTAATAATGGAAGATCTCTTCTGGAGAGCAGCATTTGAAAAACTTTGTATCTACAATAAAAAATAATAAAAAAAGCCCTTTTTTAAAATAAAAGTATTTTTTTCCATGTCTTTCTTAACTTTCTGCTTCTTTACTTACATACACGGTTACACTGAGGTTACTGGGACAATTTTTTTAAGCGTGCTGCCATATGCCTGGTAGAAGTTCACAGATTTTGGAATGCCACAGCCTCCACGCCTTGCTTCCAGGGAGTTTATTCCATATAGTCCCTTCATGCCATACAGCCACCTTAAACCCTCTTCTACCTCTATACTGAATTTAAACCACTAGTTTCAGAAGACAACTGAAACAAACAAATCTTTACAGTACCATCCTAGTGAGCTGGTGCTCACTACTATGCAATCCATGTATTATGCACGAGTTTTATATGGCATACCATTAGCTACATATCCCAGCTGAGGAATAAGCTGCTCATCCTTGCAATTTTCCCTCCCTGGTACAAGCCGCTGGAATCTCGTGGGATGAGGATTTCCATCAACATCCACCAAGAATGGAGGAGGCATAAGATGTGGAGCCTGTTGAGTCTGTTCATCCAACACATAGTTATTTGCATCACGGATCAGTGGTCGGTAATCCGTATGGAAGAACATCTGATCTGGAATCTGCAAGAAAAGCAATTCAGTAAATAAATCAGTGGCCATTTGCAGCTGTCTTGCTGTTTTGGAATGGCTCCCATACCCATAAACCACAGCTTCTATGTTTAGTATCAGCAGAAGAAATGTTATGACAGAGAACAGATTCCTACCAGAAATGTGTTTTATTACCAAGGCCTGATGCAAAAATTCAATAGTAAAATATGCCAACAGAGGTGAACAGATAGAAGTTAATGCTTGGTTCCCCTGTCTAGATATTTTGTCTAAATCTTTTTGGTTTAGGTAAACAGCAACTGCTACATGATCTAATTACTGTTTTGTCAGCGGCAGGGTGATGGAATACACTGTAACACGAATACTTCTAAGACAAAATCAGGTCAAGACACAGAAAAGTCTAAAATTCATTCAACCCACCTTTTCATAATATTTATTGCATCCAAAACCAAATAGTAGCAGATGTCCATGAGAGTCTGTGCAGGCAAAATGCTGTCCATCTGGTGAGAACTTGCAATCAAAAACAGCTCCATGGCCTTGTCCCTCAATCTGGATACAAGCACAAAGCATTCCTTTCGCAATCATACAGTCCATATAAGAGCATTTTTGCAAAAATTTCACCTGTGCTCCAACAAATACTCAATCCTAACGCTGTTGTTTCTCACCTTGCTAAAAACTGATTCATAACTTTATTTTCTTCCACTTTAATTATTAAGCTAGACTGAACAATGCAGCAAAACCTTTCATTTTCTCTTCATCCTGAAATTCCAGTGCAACTTCTAATGTATGTTCTGAAAAAACTACCTAGAAGTCTACATCTTATGTTAATGGAAGACATAGGGCAAGCCTGCACCAAAGATCTCAGACATGCATTGGCTTCATACAAGGAGGTTTCAAGGCCCACATGCCAGGAGGAAAGCTCAGGTCCTGAAGCAGTCCAACTGCATTTGCCCAGCACTGGAACTAAACCATCAAACCCAGCACGGGGCACATTAAGGTAAATGCAGCACAGAGCAAACCACACCACTTGCAGACCATGGCACTGTGCTACAACACAGGCTTACTGGGTTTCATTGTTCTGCCTAGGGAGTCACTATGGTATAACTATGCCTATACATGTGAATAATATTCAGATGTAACAGATCCCATGAAAGACTTGCTGTTATGCTTACAATATGCAAAAACATACTTTGGTATTGCTTAGTGAAGAGTACAGTTTTCTTTTTAATATGTAGGACTTTCCCCTAATCCTGTTGCAACACCAGTCATAACAGCAATAGAGTGAAATCTGCCTCAAGATAGTTTTACATAAATGTGGGGAAAAAAACCCAACCAAAACAACAACAGAACAAACAAGCCTCCTCTGACCATTCTTACCATGTTAAAGTAATTGCGAATTTTTGTTCCTTTGTCTATATCCCAAACAAAAATATTTCCATCATGACCTGCTGACAGTACAATCCTTTGGTCAAACGGATGGGCCTCCAGAACAAAAACTTCATCATCATGACCCTGCAATGAGAGCAGGATGCAAAAGGAAGTCATATTTCTCCATGTAATATCTCCAAAAACTAGAGTATTTAATGTGAGGACATCTCAGTTCAGGTAGTCATCCATGACAGCTCAATTTACTGGATCTTAGAGTAGAACTGTACTTGACAGCAGCATGCTGTTATCATGGCCCACTTTATAAGTGCTTAGACTACAGCTCAGCACAGCTGGGATGGAGAGGGACAGGGAGGAAGGAGAAATCAGCAGCAAGGACAGCTGCAGCCCACTAATCTGAGCATACATGGTGGCCTTCAAAGTGCTCCATTGCTAGCCAGCAACCACCAGGGTCTAGCAGCATTTTGGTCATCAGGTCCTTTCCCCATAATACATAATCCTCCCAATAAGCATAAAACAACACACTCCTCATCACCGGGAATGACGATGCAGCTTATCCTCAAATCGATTTCAGAGTTGAACTACAGCCACTTGGGATGACCTGCTTGAATTTTACTCACAGATAAGCTATGAAGAAGCTGCCCTGTGGATGAGTTCCACACTTTGAGAAGGAAATTGTTGACCGCAGTGATGACAGTGGCATCGTATCTATCCCAAGCCACCATAGTAACCTTCAGTTTAGTCACTTTGTCCTCCCCAGATGCTACATTGTTTCTAAGGAAATCAATAATTTAAAGAAGAAATGAATCAGTAACTCCAGAAACATATGATGGTGCTAATTCAGTTTGAAATTTGGGAGAGCATGGCTGCCCCCACTGTAACTACTGACTTATGCAGAGGACGAAGGATGTCTTCTGCAGTGGTAAAAACTGGATACAGAAAATATTCAGAACCACTCAGATCTATAGAGTTCTGCTTTTTTAAGAAGAACAAGTTTCTCTTCTGTTCTTCTTTAAGCAATTACCCTTCCTACCCCAATTCTTTATTTCAAGCTATTCAGTTCTATTAAGGTTTTTCATACAAGACATTTTTCTTATCACTCATCAATATGAGTATGCTGTACAATGAGCAAGAACCTGCTAAATAAACCCCAATCATTCTTCAAAAGATGGATTTCTCCATTTCTGCTTTTCATTACTGCGCATATTCAATTACAAGGCTGCTTACAGAAGTCATCTAAGGTTCACAAAAAGAAAAACTCAAAATCCTAATTGAACCTGAGAACCAAATCACCATATCTCACCTCTAACTTGAAAACTTAAGGACAAACACAATGTTCAGAAATATGCTTCATTATATATATATATATATATATATATATATATATTAGCTAACAACATATGATCCGTGAGGTTCTACTAAAACTTCTTTCTGTAAGACGAACTCTGTTTGACGTTCTTAATTCACATGTAAAATACTAAGTGCTCCCCAACCATTAGGGTAGGGAACTACCAATGTATGAATGATTCCTTTTGGATGCTAATTAACTGTGTAATTTTAACAGATAGAGCCATGGCATTTTCAGTACACAAACCCCCAAAATTAACTCAACATAGAAGTAAATAGTTTTCAGTATAATGAAAGACTTTGTTTTGTGTGTAAATGTGGCTATGAAGCATGCTCTGTTTCAGTTTGTTTTACCCTGTCATTTTAGTAGCCATATCCAGGACCACACTCTTCCAATCTTGCTGCTGATAGTGCCATATCCTTGCTGTTCCGTCTCTGCTTCCACTGACAAATCTTAAGCTATTGGGGGAAAAAAAAAAGGAATGAAATTCCGACTAAGGGAAAGTCACTGCTGCTTTTGGTCTATTAGATTAGCCACATGCCCATCTTTGCATCTTATTTTCTCACTACTCGGTATGGAGTTTTCCATCCTCAGCAACAGCGTGGGCATGCTAAATCCTGTGGCAAGAATATTTAGGAGCTTGGCAGAGGACTGCCACTCACCTTAGGAAAGGTGGTACAAGCACTTACTTATACATTTTCTGCAACAAACACGCATACATGCACACAAGTATATATATGTGTATGTGTATATATATATATATACTTGGAACTGTATATTTGTGTATACATACTTGCCTCACTCTCTAATGCCCACATACAGGCGTGTTTAACAACTCATAAAATATCCATGAACTCCTGCTATAGGAAACAGGCAGCTACAAAAAGGCTGGCAAGCCAAGAGCACACCCCTTCACACCAGCACAGAAGCTAGAACATATTTCATGCTTTTTCAACACTTATTCTTTATATTGTTTGTGCATCTCTGATCTACAGAATGTAATTAAAAGACAGCGAGGTTACAATTTTCATATCAGATATTGTATGGTACAAAAGAGTTTATATCCCACAACATTAATTACATTTGGCTACAGCTAGCAGATGGCCTTGGAATGACTTCAATGTCGTAATTCATATGAGCTGACATTCCCTTTTTAATGACATCAGCAAATCCCTTGAGCAGTTCACAGTGGCAGCAAAGAAAAAGAAACAGCATGCCAAGAGTCTAGCATAAATTATAATACATTAACTTAGGGAGAGGGTGAAGACAGAGAAGGGAAATGCCCAAATTGAACACAAGTAGGTATCCCTGTCTGTCAAGATTAATGCAAGTATTTTCATATTTAAACTCCTCCTTGTTTAAAGAATTCAAGCACTCAGCAAATGCATTTAACTGCCTCACAACGCTTTGGCCATCGATGTCACAGAAATCACTTTTGTTGAAAAATGTGGAAAAAGCTCCTCAAGTATCACATTTTCACAGAATGACCAACACCTTTAAAGCATCCTCCACTTGTACACAAACTTGCATGTAAAAGGCAAGCCTATTCAATTTTAATAAGTGATCGTTTCACCTTTCCACTTTCTTTGACCTGAATTTTTTTCATCACTGTGAAAAAGTGTTTAAAGATGCTTGAGACAAGTTTCTGTTCATTTTTTACTTCTGTATGTTAAGGAAGCTACTACTTTTCCATTAAAAAACATCACTCTAGCATGTAATTTTCAGCACCTATGTGACCTCATTCCCTCCTCAAGACCTGTGCTCTCACATTGCTTGGAAGGAACTATTAGCACAATTGTACTGGTACATTCCCACATAATTTTACACACAAAGATCTCCAAGCACAGGTGCAGTTCCGCTGGCAAAGTTATAATTTTGCTTGGAAGGCTCCTGCTTGCACCCATCCCTTAAAACTCCTGCCAAGCAAAATAAGGAATGTGAGCAAAAGCTGGCATAAACCCATTTACATTAAGATGTTGATCGCTAATTGAAGCTTGTCACACCACTCTCCAACACAGCTGTGTGGCAGGAGCTCAACACACAAACATGCCTATGAGCACCTTTATACATTTTATCATGAGCATCCTGACTTATCACAGTTCTGAAAACTGAAAGCTCTGCAGGTTGAAATGGTTCGCTTCATAAACTATAAGGATTACTGTTATCATCTAAACTAATTAGCTGGAAATTCAAATATTTGCCTAGAAATTCACATGTTTGCCAGACCACAGCTCCTTGCAGACTTGTCTCACCATCTGTGTCTGTATAACAGTTCTAACTGCTACTTAGAACTACATTTATTATAATGCTCTTACTCCTGAATTAATCCCGTCTGTACTTAGCAAGGCTACCTGTGAAGTAAGACACTTACACAGAAAGGATACAATATCCAATTTCCAATTTGCTGTTTACAAAGCAGAAGCAGCACTACAGAACATTGCTGTTACAGCAGAGGACAGCAGCCCCAGGCTTGTGGACATGACACACATCTTGCAACATACTTTACATAGTTTGTCTAAGATTAATCAGACCCCATGTGCAGTCTTCCTGTTGCATCAAATTTTCTCTTAAGTGTCATTTGGAAAATTAAATACCATACTTCTCACGCCAAAATCCCAGGACAGCCACTCACCTGTCACCATTGTTACAAAACTGGACTGCAACCACTTTGTCCTAAAGAGGAGGGAGGAAGAAAAAACAGTAGTAAGTGCTTTGTAAGCTGAAACGCTCATCCAAATAGATCTTAATGATGAGCTTCTATTTAGCAAACTCAATCTTCCCATGCATCTCCTACAACACACTCTCTTGCAAATTCAAGAATGGAAAAGTCATATTTGCTGTTAAAGCTTCCCCAGATGTATTGTGTTAAACACTGAGAGAACTTCAGAGAGGTGATGGTTTCGTGTTGCTCCAGAAGTATCTCAGAGACAGAAATGATTTCTGACTCAGTCTCCCTGACACTCAGACATTCAGGAAGAAGAAGCTGCAGCAGCTCTTCTCTTGGCTGAGCACAGTCTTCCTGCACAGTGCCACAGGACCATATACACCCTGGGGTAAGATCTGCACCTTTTAGGCTCCACAGAGTCAGCAGGAATAAAGAACTCCAGGAGCTCACAAGGTACCTATTAGATACAGCACTCAACAAAATGGAGAAAGAGTGACTTAACCAAATAAATGATCACAGCCTACATTGTGTTAGACCTAACATTAAAGCACATCAAAATATTTAATCAGAAAAATGCAAACCTTGGCTTTATTTCCATGTTTAAATGGAAATAAAAGGAACAAATGTTGTGGCTTAGACATGGTTTTGTCTTCTTTTATTTTGCTCAATACTTGTTTTGGCTAGATGCACTTGCTATCTCTCACTCCCACTGACGTCAGACAGCTGACTGTGGTATTAAGAAGGTAGATTTAAAAAAAATTAAAGGAATTGCAGTTTCTTCCAAATGTGAACTGCTGAATACAGAAAACGTTTTTTCTTTTCTGAGCAAAATACTTGTTAGATTTGTTGGCTTGGAGCTCTGAGACTTAAATGTGAGATCTGTAACTCCCACTGAAGTTCAGCGAATCCATTTAGAGCTCAGCCTTAACCCATAAAATATTGTTGAAGTGGGCAGCTGGGCTATTAATGTTCAAAGATAAATGCTCCAAACTTCTCACAGGTGACAGCCCTATCAATGTTGCTATAAGCTTCCCTTTCTGATATATTGTTTATCATGCACATAATAATGCAATCATCACCTGCTCTCATTAACAACTAAGAAACAAAGTAAGATTTGATGCCGGTTTAGTGATGCTTCTTTATGGAATTTCATTAAAATGGAGACATTCAATGGTTTTATTAAAACCTCAAGACTCAAACTTGAAAACTAACACTGAAAGTCATCACACAGGTATTTAAAATAGTTTTGCTATTTTACAAGGACCTTTCTCCATTACCTGAGAAAGGGTGCTTTTAAGCTTGCTTTATTTTCTAAATGAAATTACCACCATGATTCAAAGTTTGACAGCACACTCTAAACTAGAAATACGTTGTTTTTCTTGTTATGTGGATTTGTGCTCACAACTAAAGTTAAATACTCAACAGTAAATTTAACAGGAAAAAATGTCATTGTGCATGAAAGTTGCCTTAATTCCTCATTCCAACACAGACTTTCTTCAAGAATATGGGAAAATCACCTAGTCCCTCGGTTTCCCTGGGGGAATGAAATACATAAAGCATATTCTGCACACACCTCCTGCCTTAGAGGAATTTAAAAACAAACATAGCACAAATTTCCAGGCAATTGAGAGGCAACAAAACTCTCCAGACAAAAAGTAAGTTGAACTCGTAAGGACATACAAAACCCAAGTTCCTGCAATAAGGTAAAGCAGGGGGTAAAAGAAGGTTTGCTTTCTGATTTGTCTCTTACCGTATGAGATTCTAACTCGGCCATTTTCTCTGGCGATTCTGAGCCCAAATAATAAATTCTTATCACGTGGTCGGTACTGCCTGTTGCAATGAACATGCCACCTAAGAAAGAAAGGGTTTTCTGTGAGAAGAAAAGCTATCCAAGGAACAACTTCCTTTAATTACTGCTTTATCATCAAAGCAAAATACAGTTTAAAGAGAATCAAAACACACGTCCTAAACAAAGAAGTTAACTCTGGTAACTTCTACTTTGATCTGTATTTTCCCAGACTATATCAGCTTTAGAGTAACTACAATCTTTTCCAGCTGTAAACCCTTCTGGCCAAAGGAAGAGAATATTGCAAGCTACAACATTCATCACACAAACTGTTCTGGTTTCCCTCAGAAATTAACACAGCGCTCTCCATTAGCTTATGTGGAAAATTAGATGGGGAATAGTTTCATGTTCTCAATGGTACAATATCAAAGAAAATATTTAAAATATCTACTTGACCCACTTCAGAGAAATTATTGCTGGACTGGGAGTCAGCGATCAAGCTATTTTCTTGTAATGTCTGTTCTATCTACAATAGTCCACAAAAGGGCACTACTGCGTAGTTTACTGCACTGAAATAGTTCCACTTATTTCAGCATTTCTGGTTATAACAAAGGAACATGGGCAAGGTTCAAGGGGCTCTGAATAGCTCTCAATTCCAGAAAGCAAAAATTAATGAGAAATTACCTAGGTTTGTTTGTAAGAATCACTATTCTTGAGAATTCAAAGCTGCAACAAAGGATGCCTGTTAAGTTGGTATTTTCAAGCACATTGAATTAATTCTCTAGAACTTAGCCAAATTCAGAAGATTAGCAAAAGTTTAACCTTTAAACAGAGGCTACCTGTCTGCCAGATTTCAAGAACTTTTTACTCAAAAACTCTATGAGATAAAACCTTCAAAGGATGTTACAAGGAGGAATCTCTGATGTGAAAAACAACAGACTGAAAGAAACCTTCCTTGGAAGTGATCAAGATATTTTAGCTTAAATTATAGAGAAAATAAAAGGCAGCTTGAGGCAGGTGCTTAGCATGGAAGATTTCTAACAATCACAATTTGACAGTACTATGTTAACTGAAAAAGGGTTTAATACCATTGGTGTTTAAAAAGAAGTAACAGTCCTGTCACCAAAGGAATTAGAGCTCATACAATACTTTCAGCTACCTTACAATGCATACGTACCGGAACTGAAAGATGAACAAGATATCTGAACCCCAGGCCTGGACCTCTCTGCAAATTTTACAGGACGATCCCTATATGCAACAACACAACATTTTTACTTTTCATTACTTGACTTCACTGCCATACAACAAGAACAGTGCACTACAGCTCTGCAGGTTAAGGTCAACAGGCTCATCCTACATTTCTTTATTTCAGAATCCTTGCCTAAGTTGGCTAGAACTCATCTTTCATTCTAGTAATTTTCTTCATTAGTTGATGAGGAAACCCATCATTTTCTAAATTGAAAAGACAATTTAACTTATTTATTATGATGCTCACCAATTCAACTCCATTTAAAACAGAACCTGGGAAACTATAGCATTTACTCCTTATTAACTATGGGTTTGATGCCATCTACATACATGTCATCTTTTGATTAAAATCAAATTAATTCTTCTATCTATACATTTTGGACAAGGATTTAGTCATAAGTGTAAACACTTAAGATTCTTCCAAACACCGGCTTGCAAAGCACAAAGCCCAGAAACAACAGCCCTGATCTCTGCCTCCCCCTGGGTTGTAATGCCATAGACTGCCTGACGCATACACCAAAAACCTTGTTTATTGAGAAAGAACGTGCCCTTACGTAATACCTCAGCATCCCTCTCCATGCTAAAACTCACAATAAATTCATCCTCTATGTAGAGCAATTATCTAAACAGGCTTACTTAAATTTCATGGTGTTAGCATGCCACTGCCAGAAACAGATTGTTCCGTCAGCACCAGTAGAAGTGAGGTATCGTGTTGTTCCTTTCCTTGCTGGAGAGAACTAAAAATAAAGTTGTAACAGTTAAAGCAGCTAATTTCTTTCTCCCCTTACATGTTAGAATCTTGTGAATGGACACAAGAATCTTTTTCACGAACATACTGGCTTTCTCCCCAGGAGTACAGACAGCAGTACCAGGGATAAGCACTGAATCTGAACTTCCACAAAAATAAAGCCGAAACACTGGAAAGCACCCACATTTTGACTAGCAAGCCTTTATTTCTACCACACAAAAGTTAGTAAATTGGAGACATGAAACAAGCCTAGGCCCTTTTAATGAGGCAGCAAGATGAAGAAATAATTCTTTCTAGGATAGAACTGGATCAAACATGGTAACAAAAGACAGAAATGATTCCTGCATCCAAACTCAGCAGAGAACAACAGCACAATAGGACTCCCGCTCCTTCCTTCTTCCTGAACCTCTTCCTCTGCCTCTCTAAAGAGTGGGAAAGCTTTTCATTCTGAAGCCTCTCTCTTTAATTTCACAACTGCAGTAATACCTTTAATCCTCTGGATACCTGGAATTTGATAAAGGAATCAAGCACTCTTTCCTCAAAAAACCATGACTGATTATTTTATAAATCACCAGAGTTTCACAAAAAGCTTGTGAGGAACGTAAGGGTATGTAAACAGATAATATGCAAACCCCAAAACCAGGTTGTAAAAAATGTTTCCAAAACAATCACCTTAAAGTAACTTGCAACACAGTTGAAATCAGACAATACTGGAAGTGTAGCCAACAGGGGTAGAAATGATACTCCCAGGGACTACTGGCAAGATAGAGAAGATTGTGATGAATCAAAAGCAGCAAGGCTCCAAAGAGAGGGATTCTGAGGTACACATCCCCTCTCCGTGCATAACCTGACAGACTGCAGGGATCGTCTTGTTTATCCTGGAATTTTGTTTCGTTGGAGGTTTCTGTTTGGCAGTTATCTTTCATTTCTTTGGGTTTTTTAAAGCAAATAAACTGCAAATTCCTAGCCATTATTGACCGTGCCACCACTGCAGTGCTATCTTTTTTTTCCTACTCCACTGTTATTCACTGGACACTTGCCACACAACTGCAACCCAATGGGCACAAGCACCAGTACCCTGCAAACCCTGACTGTGGCTGCTGCAGTGTCTCTGTCTGCGTAAACATCCAGAAGAGCTCCATACAGCAGAGGCTAAAACAAATAACAAATGTGGAGCATGGACTTTTAGCTGACAGCATTCTTCAGACAAACAAGTGTTTGCTGTGAACCATTGAGGCAGTTGTTGTGCAAGGACTGCCATCAAAGATGCCAGGCATACCTCTCCAGCTCAGCTGGTTGAGACCATGCATTTGCTACATCTAAGGAAGCAGAAATGGGACCACACAGTTAAAGGCAGATAGAATCGTAAAATGGTTTGGGTTGGAAAGGACCTTAACATCCAGTTCCAACCCCCTGCCATGGGCAGGGACGCCTTCCACTAGAGCAGCTTGCTCCAAGCCTCGTCCAACCTGGCCTTGAACACTGTCAGGGATGGGGCAGCCACAGCTTCTCTGGGCAGCTGGTACCAGTGTCCCTCCACCCTCACAGGGAGCAGTTTCTTCCTCACATCTTATCTGTCATTTTAAAGCCATTTCCCCTTGTTCTATCACTACATTCCCTTGTAAAATCCTCTCCTCCGGATTCCTTGTTAGGCCCCTTTAGATACTGCAAGGCTGCTATAACGTCTCCCCAGAGCCTTCTCTTCTTCAGTCAGCAGCTGGCCACTGCACAGGAGTAAGCTTGCCAGGAAACAACACCCTCAAGCTGAGGCAAATCTACACTGCCAGACAGAGATGAAAAGGTAAGTTTTATATCCAACTGCTAATGCACATCTCTTATTATCGCTTTAATTCAAGGATTTAGGAAAAAAATAATGTCATTCCTTACCTGTATGGAAGTAATGGAAGCTGAATGGCCCAGCAGCACTGCGACTGGGGCACAGGTTCGAAGACACCATACTCGGACTACTTTATCACAACTGCCTGCAGCAAGCAGCGTGTTCTCGTAGTTAACAGCCATGTCAGATATTTCAGCTGAGTGTCCTCGCAATGTTGAGAGCAGGCGCCCATCATCTGTAGCCCAGATTTTGACCAAACAATCATCTGACCCCTAATGCCACACAAACATTTCCAAAGATTATGTCAAATAATATACATGTGTTACGTGTACATCACAATGCACAGGTACACTGCTGTTCTAGTGAAACCAAGACAACTGCAGATGAACAAGGATTTAAGAACACCATTGCACCATGAACCTGTCAGAAGAACACCACCAATGGGATTCCACAGGAGCACAACTATTGGAGTCTGGGGTTCATCTTATTGGGTCAAGGATTTAGATGTTTGCAAGACAGTGGCTTCTACTTTATGTTTCGTACTAAGATACAATTACCACTGCTAATGCAACTCCTCACAGTACAATTCAGTAATAATTAAGGTAAATATAAGAAGATAAAATGCTTCATTACACACTACTAAACCACGTATTTATCTGTGTGAGCCGGATCAAGCCAGTAGTAAAACTGAAGTGATCAGAAGAGTCAAGCTTTAAGGAAGAAGAGCACTTGAGCATCTGAGGGTTCTCAGAGCCTCTGTCATGCTCCTAGAACTGTAGGGCAGCTGTACCCTGAGGTTCAATCTCTGTTAACAGGAGAAACTTTAACCACTCAAAGAGAGAAAGCATGCAGCATCATGTGCAACTGAAATACTACGTCAGTGAGGTTTCAGTTCAGGACAGGACACAATTCAAAAGCACGTCCAACACAATCACTGTAGAATACTGTCACCTACAGTAGCAGCTACATAATTTCATAGTCAATGCCAGTATAGTCAGGAATTTTTAGACAGTTCACAGCCCTTTCCACTGTTCAGATACTACAAAGAATACCAAAATTAGTTGCTAGCATTGCTACTGTATATTGGGAAATATAGCACAATAAAACTATAAATAATTTGACTTTCAATTACATTTTATTAACTGCAGCTAAATTTGAACACAAATCACTTTCAGTTCTCCATATAACTGCAGATGAGAAACATTTCTTTATGGCGTAAACAATACCAGAAAGGCCCTCGCTATGACCCAGAGTAATTATCATAACAATATCTCTATTTGACTGATTTATAATGAGTGAACAAGCTAGCAAGAACACAAAGACAAAAATTAGCCTTCCAGGTAATCTGCTTCTGAACACCTATTGATAAGAGACAAGGTCAAAATGAGACAAGACAGGTAATTTTAATTATTAAAAGATGCATTATTAATTTGAAAAACCTGTTATTTTTTTAATAGGCACAAGGGCACTATCACTGAAATGTGTGTTAATATATTCTGCAGAACACCTTAAATTACTATTCATACATTCACTGACATACTACAAATTCTAGAAAGTAAATTTAGTAGAGAAGTAAACTGTAGATGAAGTAATGAGGTCTTCCATACACCATCAGGTTTTTAGTGAAAGGTAAGGAATTGCCAGCATTGCCAAGGTTATCAAAAGGCAAAATGGAGTTTTAAGAAAAGAGTTAAGATTTAACCCAGAAAGCAGCATGCAAACTAATTCCAAACCCCAGAGTACTCCAGCTGCCATTCAGTCAGAAAGATGATAAAGAAACAAAAATAATTGTATGTGCCAAGTGAGAGTTGCAAGCTCTGGACCGGAACAACCCTGCTGTACAGTTCTACATGAGGAAGTAAATAGCTGAATAAGTCCACTAGAGCCACGACCACTTTTAAAATACCAAGCCAAATGAAAAGTGAAAACCAGCACAGAAAAAGGTGGGCTTTCACACATTTCAGGATTGCTCTTCCCTTGTTTTTCTGGAAGCTCTGTCTGCATCTCAATCAGTAACTAAGAGGCTGTTGATGGACTCAAGAGAGAGAAATCAAATGAAGCAAAGCAATCCTCAAAGAAAAGTATGATTTTTTAACTTACCGTAAAAATCCTTCTCCCACTGCGATCAAAGGCTATACAATAAACAGATGAGAGATGCCCCAAAATCCTCTTGTGCATCTTCATGTGTTGGTAAGTAGATGTTGGGAACAAGTGGCTGAAACGTCCACATCCAGTTAATTGCCTGGCAGAAATTATATTTACTGGGAGAGAAAAGCAAAACAAAAAGAAAACCAAGATGTTAATTTTGTCCAGAACCCAAAGTAACAACTTTATTATACATAATCCATAAATCTGAACCTCTTCCACCTTATCAGAACATTCTGTACAGTCCTAGAGAAAAGAAAGCCCACTCCTGCTGAAGCCTGTCAATACCTACCACACCATACACTACACTTTCATAACATTTCATAAGGAAACGATATGCTACTAATACCAATTACAAAAAGTTTCTTTTAGAGTATAATATTAGTTGAAGTGGTGTTTTGTGATAAAAAACTTTCTTTGGAAGGGGTTCCAGGTCATATGTGAGAGTGAATGTCCATCCACATGTTTCTCACAAAGCAACATCATCATTGCATTTCTATGCCAACGTAACTGAAGAATAAGAAATATGTGGCTCTGATGGGAAAAGCCCCAGTTAAAAGAAGGGCAGGCACAAGAAAAAACTGCAACAATAAATTATTTCACGTTGCTATAATACAGAGCAGCTGCTGCAAGAACAGCCTGAAATCTAAACACACAGAAACACCATGTAAAAAAAGCACGGTTGGCAGTTTCACTGATGATAACAATAATCTTTCCACTAGGCAAGAAAAGGAGAAAAGAGGCATGCATGTGCCTCTCCTGGGATGTGCCACCACATGAAGATCACTGTACTGTGGCTGTAGAGTCCAAAAAAAACTAATTCTAATCTTCAGTGTCATGCATAATTTGAGACCATTTGGGGTATTTCATTTTACCTGTCCTAATTCATATCACTTGAACTTTTGATTTTAAAGCTTTGAGATTTTTTTTTTAATGGCACTTAAAGACCCATCATTGCTGTACTGATGGGTTCTGTGAGTCCCTGCCATAGCAGCTCCCTGAAGGAACCCCTTATCTTGTTTACTGCACATTGAAGTAGGCAGGGCTTCAGAGTGGCAAGAAGCTCTTCAATGCCTTTCAATACTTTAGTTTAAAAGTATAGCGAAGAACTTGACCCATTTTCTTCATTGTGTGACCATATCATTGCCTATCTGCATAAAAAAAACCCTCATGGAATATGCTAACAAAAGTCTACAAAGTCAAAAAGCATAATTTCAAACGGTTACTACCACATAACACCCGCCTGTAAATTTCTGTGGTTGAAGAATTTATACACAAGCAGAGAGATTAACTGGCAATGAAAAGAAAATGTTTCCAGATTTACAAAAGTCTTCTTATTTGCCAGTTTTATGCTCTGAAACTTGGACTATTTTTAATCACTTGGTGCGACTGGAAAGCTACATACAAGGAGAAGAAGTTGCACAAAAGGTGTAGATGCTTGCAAAAATCATCACACTCCCAATGTGACCTCACCTTCAGCCAATGTTTGTTTTTCATGTAAAAACACATATTCAGCAGTACTAAAAAAGCAAAACACACAAAGCCAAATTAATTTACTGTCTACCTACTGTTCAACTGATACCTGATATTACACAGGAGCTGTTAAGTGAAACTGTCTCCCTTAGCAAAGGAAAAAGGAAATCTCTAACCCTTTTTCCCCACCTCTCACAGAAGAGTGCAGAGATCCCACAGAGATAAACGCTGTCAGGTTTGCTACACATTATTTTATTTACTATTGAATAGTAAATAAAATACTATTGAAACAATAAATAAAATACCAGCTGAAGTCTTAAAAATATTAAATCTCCCTTTCCTCCACACCGTGGACACTGATACACCAACAGAGAGATGTAGTCATTTAGCCATACGGTAATTCTGCTGTGCCTTTCAATGCTTAAATCATTTAAATATATAACAACAGTGTATCTGCCTTTCAACATTTTCAAATGGTTTTGAAGATTGTTTTCAACCACACAAAGGACTGTGTGAATCAAAAAGGTATACCTGCATTTCAAAATATTCCCAATAATCTCAATACCTTCTATGCACTACAGCATTTCTGTGCAATCCTGAAAATACAGCACTGCTGTTTGCTGCAAGTCACTCCAAGGAAATACTGAAAGGTATAACAAACAGTCAGGCACCTAAGTCGCTCACACAGCCTTTCATCTGGCACTTTGCACCTAACTTTTGGAGTCAATTCCCAAACTCGCAATCAGTTCAGCTGCTGAGGATGTGAAAGTGAATTTCACTTTTTTCTGTGTCCATTTCCCTGTTTGAACAATGGGGACAAGGCTCCTCAATCTCCCGTGGACAGTTAAAAAATAAAAAGCTCTGCTTATGAAATGCTTCAATCACAAGTTTCAGACAAATACAGACTATTGCTGTGCCCTGAGAAGCACCATCTTCACCAAAGCAACAGCATCTTCAAACAAAAGGTAACAAGTACTCAACGTATCTGATCCTCACTATAAAAATGGTTCTGGTCTATCAGAAACGTATGCCACAAACACAAAGCTGGGATTGGGATTTTTGTCTTTAACCTGTCACTGCCTTCAAAGGAACTGCAAAGTAAAAAACTCCCCAGAAAACAAAACAAACATCCCCAATTCCAGTTCTCGTATTTTTTGGTAGAGGATCAATACACAATGTCTAAATAGGGCATTACTTACATGTGACAAAAATCCCCGTGAATTTTGCTCTCTTCAGTACAATGAAGTTATTGTACTCGTAAGGCCTAGAAGCACTTAAAAAACCTCCTCAAACAAATCCCACACAGAATTAGCAACAGAGTAACCCTAAAAACTTTTATCAACCTATCAAATTAGCTGCTATACTTCACACCACACGGGGCATAACAGCTGCCAACTCTACCCCCTCACTATGCCCTGCCAGGAAAAACTGTAATAACTGCATAGATGTTATTTTCACATTAAAAGTGGGCATTACAGTCCTTAGTGCAAGTACAGGCACAGTGGCTGGGGCAGAGAGAAGTCACACGCTGTAACAGTAATTCTTAAATCACAATTCATTCTACCAAAGATAACAGCAAAGTTTCTTGTGAAACTCTTGCAAGAAAGCTCACTTAGGAAGGATAAAACCAAAACTCTTCACCAATAAGCCATCAGTGAAAACAAAAATTAAAAAGCAATCAATCATCAGACACCACAAATTTCAATCTTAAGTCACAACTTGAGAAGGAATGAAAACGTTTCAGTGTGGACAAAGTCCCCTAGCTGCAGCAGTTTCCTTTCTCTCCCTATAAACGTCTCGCTCCACCTACTGTAGGCAAAAATATTGTTTTAAATGTAGTTTCTCTAGTATTATGAGTGATGGCTTCACATTGTACTATTTTACCCACTGAAACTGTAACTTCACTGTAGCTTCAGAATGAGGACATGACATTTTACACAGCCCAGGATGGGTGGTGAGCAGGCTCTGACCCCATCATTGGGCTGGATCAAGCATGAAGATCGGATACCAATAAGATGACTGAGAAATAAACACATTTGGCTCACACATGTAAAATATCTTCTCAGAGAGCGAATGTGGCCACAAAGACAGCTAGACCCAGGAAAAGCACCAAAAGAACAAAGTGTTCCAGCTGCTGACCTCACTGAGCAAATTTACAGCAGAGAAACATCATCAATTTCTGACTTCAACAGAGCGCTGCTATTTGGCAGCCCTAAAGTAGCTGGATCACCTTGACTGCACATTTCCATACAGATGAAATGCCTGTTCATTGAGACTATGCTATGAATTTCCAGTTCCAAATTCTGTGTTACTTTCTCTAACAACAGATAGAGATACGTAAAGATTTTCTTGCTCAGGTTAGAACACCTCTAGTAACCAACTAAAGAGGGAAAAACAGCTTCTTTCTAATCTGCTTTGTGTTGCCTGCAGGAAAAAAGTCCTGACAAAACTCAAGTTGTATTAAAAAAAAATAGGTATAGAAAACATTTACATCACATGTGAATAACTCCCATTGCTGAGATGCTGAACAACCAATCTGCCACCTTTCTGGCTGGAAAAGCACAAAGGGAGTCCTAAACGTACCACTACTGCAAAACCTGCAAAGAAACAGTCTAAAAAGACCATCCTCACTGTATTCACTGTTACCCTGTCAGCAGTAGAGAGCTGACAGCATGTTCCCTTCCTCTCCTCCCCCAGCAGATCACCACAGACCTCCAAGACTCAACAGACGACATGTTCCTGAGAATGACTCCACAACTCAGCACGTCTCAAAGACACCCTCAGCCAGATGATTCCAGCTCTGCACAAACATGCTGGGAAAAGGGCAACACTGATTTTTTGCTCTGGTTCCACTGTGCATCAGCTTCTCCTTTGGAGTACAGATGACAAAGTCACACCCCAAGCTCAACCAGATAAAGGCAAATCACTGCAGCTGCCAACTCTTCCAATTGGAAGGGAAATGATACAAGAATACTTTTAGCTGCTCATTCTGTACCTTATTTACCAGTCTACACAGGCAATTACACAACCATTATGTCTCACTCATGAACACACATTATTATGGGTGTCTACTTCTTCAGCCCAACTACTTCAGCAAGTAATTCCAGAAAACTCAATCTGACTAAGCCAGCACAGTATGGGAATACACAATTATGCCAATAATATTAAAGAGGTTGGGTATACTTCTTCATCTTGTATTTTAAAACAAGACACAGACACACACACACACACACACACTACAACATTTGTGGCTGTCGCTACTCCTCAGAGAAAAACACCTATTTTGCACAAATATACACAGAAGAATTTGGTGACCTCCACTTCAGGATTAAAAATGGGGAATCCTAAAACCAAACTCCTGTCTCCTGTACAGCTTAACTATAGTCAACTCCTTATTTTAATACATGTGCCCATTTTCCTGTCTTACTATGTAACTACACCAAGGAGACTATTCTTCTAGGAACCAATACTTACAAGAATTAATTCCTGGCTATAAAACACCCATTTCCACATGACACCTTTGCATTTCTTAAAAAAAAACCAAACAAACAAACTAAACCGATTTGTAGGAAAATACCAAACCAAACAAATCATCCTGTTCTCTACATCACTAAACAGTCACCAAGCAAGAAGCACAGACCTTTGCCAAGAAAGTAAATGCTGAAGTCCAGTCTGCTAGTATGGGTCATTAATAATACTGCATATTCCAAAATCACACAGTCTGATTCTCCTCTTGTGAAAAACTGATTCAGAAGTCGTTACAGAAATACAGAACTATAGAAGCTGAGTGTGTGCAATAGATCTGTAGTTTAGCCTATTAGCAATCCATCAGCCCAACTGGTAACAGTAACTGCAGAACCAGTCAGGAAGTATAAATACATAGATGTGTACAGTAGTACTAATATATGGAAACAATTTTCTTTTTTTTTTAAAGTCCACAGTATGACTCATAAGTTATTTGACAAAAGCAGGAAAAGCACTAATGCAACAGCTCCCTGTGCACTAGTTCCAGGCAAATAGCCATTCCTTTTTCATACAGAAGACCTGTAATTAACTCTGCTATTCCGTCACACTGCTGCCACACCACCACAGACCTTATGCAAAGCGTGCTATTGATTTCAACCACAAACAGCCTGGGCTTTGGCACTTTAATGTCTGACAAGGATTAATCTTTAGTAATGAGAGAGAAAGTGCAGAAGCACAAACAGAACAGACACAGCAGAAACAGAAGACTGCCATCATCATTCCTACATCACCAAAGGAATGGGAGAAATATATGTGAATGGATTCGCTAACAAACCTGGAAAAGTCTCTACATTTGCACAAACACACAGTAAATACAGATAAAATCCCCTAAGAAGAAAAAAACCATGACCAACAGGACTTATATTTATGCCTACAAAAATCAAATTTGTTTGCTATAGAAATAATTAATGCAAGTTCAGACCATACAAAGAAAACTTTTCAGTTTAAGCAAATAGAAACTCTGTGATGATATGTAAGCTGAATGCCTACATATATCTGAGTTTTATACAAGTTCTCATCTAACTGAAACACTGAAGTAACCCAAATGTAGGTTTGGTGATTATTTCCTTTTTGGAGAGGAATGTTGCAAGCAGTCTGTTTTCTGTCATAATCAAACTAAAATGAATGGTTGGGTCCAGAAAGTTCCCTGGGAGCCAGGCGCTTTGTTCTGGCTAAGATTCCTGAATGAAAAGATTGCCTCCATGTTCCTGTGACCATTCCTGTTCAATCTTACAAGCATATGTACAGATTATGTACACATATCATAAAAAAATCCTCAAGCATGTTGCCCTCCAAACAGGATGTTAACATGCAAAGCTTTTCAATGTGGCCACAATGTTTTAACATGTGTACACATATTAAGGAAGATCCAAGCCTGAATAATACATAAAGGGCTATTCTATTGTCAGTGAGAAATCTCTTTCAGACTAATTCATGGTGAAATGTCAAAAAAGCCATTAATGCAAGCCCACAGTAGTGTTTCAGTCAGCAAGAGTAACTTTAAGCTGGAACAGTAATAAAAATACAGAGAAGGAAAAAAACACCTTATGGAGGTTTCAAAACTCACCCACGTTTGGTGGTTTCCCATAATTTACAGGTAGTTCGGGAGGCCGGCCTCTGTGGAGAGCTGCAAATGCAGATCCTTTCCATAGCGTATGTCTGAAGTCTGTACCAGCAAGATGAACCGTGGGTTAGTGAAACAATCAGCCAAACTGGGTCCAATCTACCTATTCTTCTTAGAATCAAGAGCATCAAGCACAACTCCCAGCATCCCCAAATAAGATTTGTCTTTTTAAGTAGTTTGTCAGAGATCTAACACTTACAGAAGATTGCTGCTCTCATTTCTAGTTCCTAAGCAATGTGACTGGTAATTATTTCAGCTTATTTTGGCTTCCTTTTGGGGAGCAGGGAGTCTAAATTGATGCAAAGAAAATGAAAACAATAGGTGTGCTCAGTACTGAGGCAGGACTGAACTGCAGCATGTTTTTAGTCCTGCTGCAATCCCAACACATACAGGACCTTTCCTTATGAACCGTACATTGGAGAATACACGCACACATTTGCTCCCTGAAAGTGGCAGAAGGAAAAGGTTTGGGGTTTTCTGCCCTATAAATGTGTTTTCCTGCAGTTGGTGGCAATATGCCTTCCTTTCAGACTGTCCTTTGCACCCCACCCCCCAAAAAACATTGTTTTTAAAATGAAGACTCTTTTCTCTAAACACTCTCCAGCTTTCTGCTGCCAACTGGCCTCAGCAAGCCTCCTCTCTAGAACAATAGTGATTTTTCTGAGACTGCTCAGAAATTAGACCTGGACTTCTTCCATTTCTGGCCATCTGGAAGGAGGGAAATGAGCTTCTACGGTGAGTAAGGATGGAAACAGAAGGACAGTGCCACAGATCGGTGGATCTGTGAATCACCATTTAGATCTCTGAAGTGCATAAGCTTCCATGACTCAAACAGACACCCAAGAGCACCTTCTGATGAAAATCCAAACTGCATCACAGACCATTACAATGACACACATTAAAAACAGTACTCATGCTTTCTATAATAGATCAAAACAGCCATAAATACTAATGGTAAATGGAAACTTCATACCAATATACAACTAGGGGGAGTGGAAATTCATGTATGTTAACTTTGGAAAAATTAAGTTCTTCTGTATTAGTGTGTTTAAACACCAAATGGCACAATATCACAGCACCTTCTTCTGAAGGGGACAAAATCCCACCCTAAATCTAGCAGAAATCTTTTTGCAATGCATTTATCACGTGCCTTAGGAAGCACTACTTCTTCCAGTGATTCACCTAGCCTCTGTCCCCTAACTCACCTAAAAACCTTCTGTTTCTCTGCATGAAAATGTTTATTTTCTCTCTGTTTTAAGATACAAACTGAATGTGAAATGAACAAATAGTTCTCTGAAGGCCTCCCTGCAAACCTGAAATTCTCCACCCAGTTATGGCACAGCATAAGCAAAACAAGACCCAGGCCCAAACTTTGCGTATGTGTTTGCAAACAGCACATCCCTCCAGGTGACATCCAAGGGATCAGCAGAATGCTAAAAGACCTTGTTAACATCACAGTGTGACTTCAGAGGATGAGGTAAATTAAGTGCTCAGCAGCCACTGAAACAGGAAGGTCCTGCTCTCCCATCCCTCCTCCTCTCCCAGACAAATGCTCCTGCTGCCTGTGTCACCTCCAGCACTCTGATCCTTCCATGAGCTCATTTAATTCACTACAACAGCAATAACAAATTTGGGAATATTTTAGCTCTCTGAATCAACACATCACAGGATCAAGTAACTTCTGGCTCCTACAGGGAAGAAGTGGCAGCAGCATGGAGTGAGGAGGGAAGGGAGGAACCACTCTTTTCAATAGCAGATGGCTCGCAGATCGGTTTAGTTCTAACATAAAACTGCGCTCTCAGGATCATTATCTCAAGCAGAGCAGTTTTTCAAAAGAAACAGGACTGGTGCTCTATTCATGAAAGGAATGGAGGCTTTGGTTAAAATTAACTTTAAGCAAGGATAAGTAAGAATTATCACTGAGTCAGTCTCACCTTCTCCCACCCTCTAAATACTGCCCCAAATGCCACCCTGCCCTTCAAGCTGACACACCAGTCTGCACAGCCAGGGAACTGAATAATGGAACAAATGGAAGAAATCAGCCTCAAAAATAGCCCAGCAAAAAACACAGACTGCTGGGTTAATTTAGATCAAGGCATGTGGGTATGTATATAAAAAAAAATGGCTGGTTTTCAGATGGATCAAATGGACCCAGTCCAGTTCATCACATCATTTACACAAGCACCAGTTCAATGTGCTGTGGAGGGGAGGCAAAAAGGCAAGTAACTACATCAGGCAGCTATAGGCAAGAGCTGCTCCTAAGATGGCATTTTCAACCAGAGAAACATGTATGTAACAGGACCAGCAATAACTGCACTGTAGCAAGACTACAACAAAAAAGCTGACAAGCATAGGAGACAAACCAGGGTTCATGCAAATACATACGGATACCACAGTACGAACTGAAACAAAAGGGGATTTGATCATTGAAATAAAAATCAATCACACACAGATTGAGAATCTTACCTTTTGCTGCCCTCAGTAGAGACTGGCGCCCGACACCTAGCAAAGTCTGCACACCTAGGACACTCTGTGGGATTTCCTTGTCTAAAAGGGGTCCAAGTCTCTCACAAATCCTAAGAAGATAATCCGGGGGGATGTGCGCATTCACAGCCACCTAAACATATAAACAATGCAGATGTTTGGAAATGGTTTTACTTTGGAAATGGTTTTACTCTTGCTTCTACCGTTATTTCTTTGTTTGGTTCATATTCAGTGTTAAAGTTCCTGAAATCAAGTCTAATACCCCTGAAAGCCCTCTGAGAATATATGATACCAAAAATGTCTTTTAAAGAGACATGGAATGTTGCAAAAGTCAGAAAATCCAGGTGGTAGCAGCTACAGTTGTAATTTAGGATATCCCTTAATAACAAAACCCCTGAAATTCAGAGTAGTGCTCTGTGTACTCAGTGCAGTTCTCCGATCAAACAAAGAATAGGACATCTTTCCTGAGGACTTTTTTTAAGCCTTTTTTACCCTCCAGTTCATTCTTTTCACATTTCCTGATTAGCTGAAACACTTTTGCCAGACAACCATTACTGTAAGAAGCACATGTGCTAAAGCCTAAAGCCCTGAACATCATTCTAAAAGCAACAGCCAATCTCCAGTTTTTAGCTGCCGGGAGTAGGTATCTTTAAGACTCACACGTGTAGGCTCCTAATTCATAGTGTCAAGAAAACATTCTTTCCCTTTAGACAGAGACTGTTTTCTATGGTGAGACAATAGCTTTTTTCCAACAGTCTGTTCAAATAGCAAATAAACTGTGCCTCATTATCCAGAACGTCCTGCACTTGCCTAACTTTTACTCCATTTACTAGCTGGCAGCAAAAACTGAACATCAGAGCTTATTTATCTCCTTCAACACAGGAAATGCAGCTACATCTATCTCCTTTCTCAACAGTAACAGGTCACTCAGCTTTTAAGTACCTGTGATTCACGATGGAAAAAATAGTTGTATTAGAACTATTCCAACTTTCTGTTGCAATACTATGATGAAAGAGGTGGTCATAAACCAGGGGTTTCATTTGGTTTACCAAGCCAAACTAATGCCAAATAACACTAAAGCTGACCTGAAAGGGCCAGAACAGTGTTCTTTGTAAAGAAATAATAGCAGGCATATGCATGCACACCACCCTTACATGACCACTTCAAATGTGGCCAGTCACAGGCCAGTATAGGACTGGGAGTACTCACTGCCCATGTGAGTACTCACCCTCCCAATGACATGGGACAAGTTCTTGTGCAGCTGCAGTGATCCAGGATGATTCCACAATCTGGCTAAAACCACGACCAAGCTCCCACCTGGATCAGCTCCCGTGCTCACCTACTCAGAGAGAGCAGTTACAGCTCCCATGGTTAGGAACGCTCACCCAACAGAAGGAAAAGGGTTTTTGCCAGGTTTAGCAAAGCTGACTGTGATTCACAGAAGTGACAGGGCTGGTGGAAAGCAAGGTACAGGACCACTTCTTTCCACAGAGCACCATCAGATAGGCCCAGGTATCCTGCCTACTGAAACCTAAGGATATGCCCAGCTCCTGCCCCAGCACACCGAAGGGAGCAGCATGCATCGGGAAGGAGGAAAATGTATTTCACTCCAACCTGCTGCCAAAACATTGTTCACTGAACTATGTCATCAAACATATCATTAATACATGTCATTGGGAAATCGCTCACTCCAATTGGGCAACAGCAGTGGTGCTACGGGCTCAGCGCAGTGAGTCACACCTTGTATAATGCAACCACCTTCATCACAAGCAGGATCAATCCCATCCCACAAATCAGATTTCAACCAAAGAAACACAAAAAGGAAGGGCTTTTCTAATCATATATACAAATTGCCATTTGACTAAACCCAACTGAAAACTCTTCCAATCTGATGGAAACTGACAGAAGAGAGTCAGGCTTCTCCACACATCCTTTCAGTCACTGAGTGCCAGTGTCTGGCTTTCTTAGGGAAACAAAAGAATCGCAGCTCTGCAGGAACAATAATTTCAAGGAATACATTAATGTAGTCCCATTTCAATGCTTTTCATACTATGAGCATCAAGGAATGACCCCATGAATGCTCTTCTGCACTGACCCACTTCCTCCAGCCATTCTAACTTCATTTCTTTTTCCCAGAAAAATCACAGACTTCCAAACTTGCATTAGTACCTTCCCATTGTAAATTACATGATATTATAGAAGTCAAAATGAGATAAAAGGATTATCTGAACTTTTGTATTTGCCTATCGTTCCTACTCATTTCTGAAATATTACAAATGTGTTAATGAGATGAAATATTTTATTATCCTTCCTAGCCTCCCTTCAGTATGTAAAAGATCTGAAAGGATCTCAAACAAAGGCAATTCTAAAGAGTGAATCTATAATTGAATAAAATCTGAGTATGAAATCCTTTTTTACATCTCTGATAATTAGTTACATGCTTCTCAGTCCACAATTCTAATAATTTATCAAGATTAAAGGATTTAAAAGAAAGAAAGCAAACAATCCAGATGCTATGGAATTTTACACTTCTAGAGTAGGGAAAAAACCAACCATACCACTGTCTCTGGAAATAAAAAGTTTCACAGAAAGTCCAAACCATTCTCCTAGTCTCATGCAGCAAAACACTTCTCATTTCACTCAGGAACATGCTCCTTTTAAAGCATCACTGCTATTCTATGTCTAGAGAAAGGTGCTGAATTCAGCCTGGCAGCAAATAACCTACTATGGAGGCAGAGCAGAAGTTACACAACAAGCAGTCCTGGTTAGCTCAGTGCATCGACTCAGAAATGGAAAGGGACTTCATTGGTTAAAGATCCGCAGGTTAAGCCACAGTTTTATAAGGAATACCAAAGAGAGAGAACATCAACACATGTGCAGACCGGCCAGCATTCAAAGATGAAAGATGGATGCGCCAGACTGACAGAGTACGTGGCAGTTATCGGCACATGCCTGGTGCTAATTTGCCTGGGACATCCAGACGTTAAGCAGCTCAGGATACCAGACATCTGCTTGATCGCAGCCCAGACCAGAAAAGTTGGCAAATCCACCATGGAGCCAGAGTTAAATCGGCACAAGCATGCTGCTGAGGAATCTAGATTTCAGTGCACAATTTTATTAGACTGTAAATTTTTCTAAGCAACAGTTAATGTGGAGCATATTGCACAGACCAGACACACATTGAAGTGACCATTCACTTTAATAACACGCCCTACTCACCAGATTTGCCACCTGCAATCAGAACCATGCCATGCTACAGAAGAAATGCTGTATCACACTTCTTTCCCTGAACATCTTCATGTTTCTACAAGCCAGAAGAGCCCAAATAAGTGAGCCTTAACCTGATTATTATCACTGTTGTTATTACCAAAGCAGGCAGCAAGAGCAGCAAATTCTCCTGGAGAATATTTTTCCATATTAAGTTCCAGATGAAATGCTTAAACCACAGCCCAATGCAAAAAGAGCAATTCCATATACAGGTTCCCAAAAGAACTTGAAACAAAAATCCTTTCTTTCACCTCTGCATGAGATAGCTGTAAATGGACTTTAAGTATCTTTCCAAAACATGAAGCTGCAAACATAGCGCTGAGAGAAACAATGATTTCTGAAAAATCAGATTTTCATTGGAAGAAGGATGGAAAAAGGCAAAGCTTAGCATCAGTTATAGCCACACCTTTTAGTGTGTGCTAGTCCAAACCCCATACAAGGATATTATCACCTCCTCAAATGCATTGGAAAATAGTTTTTTAGAGTATTAGAAAATATTTTAAAAAACTCAAAAGGAAACCAAAAATTGGAGACAAGTAATACAGGCCAAAACCATGCCTGACAAGTTTAAAGTGTGTCATTAAATAATGCAGAAGAGCTGAAAACGTGCTAAGTGAGAGCAAGTTCTGCAACCTGGGATAAACTGTGAAGGGAGAAACCTTTTGTTGCCTTAAGATGTGAAAAACCCTGTAATGGTTAACATGTGAGAGCACAAGAATGCCACAGTAACACAGAAGAGTTCTCAGATGTCGTAACCCTACAGGTCTTCTGGATCTAAAAAACCTTCAAGAATTGCGTAAAGTTAACTCATTCTTTTAAACAAATCTACATAAAGAACCCCAGGCAAATATAACACAGCCATGACTGCTTGAACCAGTATGGACATAAGTTGTTCCAGTGATAAGCAGCTCCAAGTAAAGTAAACTAGGTAAAGAACTATTAGTGAAGTCACATCAGGACTAGGAGAAAGTCATACCCCTAAAGGTGTTCATGCTTCTATTGTTGGAAGCATTACGATGTAACCTCGACTACTAGCAAAGGGTTCTCACTGGACAGCTAAGAAGACAGGCAAGAAGCTTGTTGATCCCAGAAACAAACAAACAAAATACCCTGGTATGACTCCTGACAATTTCTCCTCCAAGGAAGGAATTTCCTTCAACAGAGGAAACAAAAAAAATGACTTGTTGCAAGTGATACTTATAAGATGCCTGTCTTCCCAGGGATCAGAACCAGATAGCTCTGAAATATCTCTTTCAGGAAGCCCAGTAAAACATTGCTTCAAAGCACAGACTAAATTTGACACAAGACCTGCATAACGGAAGCAATGCAGGCTGCAATGCAGACCTTCGAAGGCTCCACCGTAGCCAGTCCCCTGTGGGCAGTTGTGCAGCAGCAGCAGATTTCTAACCTCCAGGCAGTCGTACGACACTTCCCTTGTTTGCCAAAATAACAATCAGTTAAGAATCAATTGACAACTGTATCAAAAAGGCAGCAGAGGAGACCACGAAGACCAAGCTGAGCAAGCAGGAAATCACTCAAGACTTCAAATATGGAATCTCAGCAAAAAGGAGCCCAGATACTGGACATGCACAGGATGTCAACAGTATGCAAATAGACATGAATTTGAAAAGCCATTACCAGATTCCCTAGAGAGAACAGGTTGGAACTACCATACTGCCAGATGACATTTTCCGGAGGTGACAAAACCGTAACATCTCTTCTCAGCTAATGCGGGATTGGTGGTACCTATAAATAACAGAACCTCAGACTAAGAGCTAGTTTTAAATCAATGCAGATGGGCAGGGCAGAAACTCAAAGCCAAATCCCATAAGCTGGTCCATACCAGCACAGCCACTCAAGGATGCAAATTCTCCACTTGAATACACTGTCAAACAATAGCTAATTTTTTGTTTTTCCTGAAATTATACCTATCTTCAGCACAAAGACCCAAACAGGCTGAGCCAGAAGAGACAGCCTGTCAAAGTTCTTGAAAACCAGACCAGAGCCAGTCATCTTTATCATAAAGAGAGATAATTTCAAACAGCAGTCCACTGGAGACAGTTCTGATAAGCTGAGTTGGTTCAGCTTGACTCATCTGTACAACAGCTGACTCCACACTGAACGGCCGTGATTAATTTAAAATAGGTGTACTAACTGTGTGCAAGTTTGACATACTTCAGGCTTTCATAAGGAAAGCGATGACCCTCCCCTTTACAAACATGCTTCATGCCTCAAGACCACCAGCAGTCAATAACAAAATAAAACCCACTTTGGAGTACATCTGGATGATTATCTAGACAGGCAGCCACATGTTGCACATAAAAAGTACTCCAAAGTGGAACAAGGAAACACAACAGTGGGAACACAAACACACAAAAGCGAGTCTTCTCTGCACGGTTTTGCTCATTAGGCGTGTTTCTTCTTAGTGCATCTTAAATTACTCTTCTGCTTGTGGTACCTGACATTTAAAGTCAAAGACCAAGTTCAAATTAAAAAAAATAAAAGAAAGAAAAAAAGAAATCTCAGCAGAGAGTTTTCAGACCTTGACTAAAAGCTGGAGTGAAGTGGGAGTAAACATTCCCGAGACAAAAGCCACCTAACAGGAGATTTGGTTGTTACATCTTTATGGCTTCCAAAAGAACAGTAACAACATACTCAATGGCAATAGTATCGGTGTGTTTTCTGAAACATACCAACACCAACCTGAATATTCAAACTGAGAATGGAAAACAAAGTTGAAACATCAGCAATTAAAACAAGAAATACTTGGTTGGATTCACCAAAGCAGAATACTGGGCAAGCAATCAAAGAAATCAGACTTCTCTAAATTCACTGGGTTTGACTATCTCAGGCCTGCCTGGCCAGCGTAGTTGCAACACTGGGCAGAGATTGTAATTGAATATGGTTTTCTGTCTGGAAGTATTCAACAGGGAGAAACGGGTAGAAAAGACTCTACCTCCAATTGCTAGCATCTGCAATTTATTTTGGTTCACTATGTGCCTGAGATAATTCAAACAAAGTTCAGAGTTATCTGTGTTCTTCACAATCCTGGCTTTGTTCTAAACACAACATGCAGACATCTAGCTAGTCCTGAAGTCAAGTACTTCAGGTTAATATACAATCATATGCAGCCAAAGGTCCAAATTCCAAATACATCAGACCCTAAGCAATGAGGGGAAAAAACAGCCTTTCTTCAACATTCTCAATAGTGAAAGCTTCAGTCTGAGGATGAATAGAGAGGAGCTCAGTTCACCCTGCCCAGCATCAACCTGCCTCACTGTAATGATTCATTTATAGTCCTGTTCCTTACTGTAAATCATAATAAAAAGTTAAATAATACTCAATAACAGTCATTACCACTAAATACTACTAAATAATAATATATAGTACTAAATAAAAAGGCAATCTAAAAGGAATTATTAGTTTCATACAAGAGGAAAAAAAAAATCCTATAGTTTTGATAATTCTATACAGCAAGAAGCAATTTCCCATTCACACAGTATCACACAGTATGCTAGAGATTGGAAGGGACCTCAAAAGATCATCTAGTCCAATTCCAAGCCTCACTTTACAAGGGTTTGTCTCCTGTTTCTGAAAGTTTAAAGTGCATGGTTTCAACAACACCAGCCACCACACACACATCAAAAAACGTTTTAAGGCTTTTCTATTCGCATCCCATAGAACGAAAGGGAAAAACGCACATGCTACTGTAACTGACTAAGCAAAACCAGTGTGCCTGAAATCAGACTTCATACTGTCAGTTTCCTCTGAAACTGACAACAGTCACAAGCTAAACCTGAGCAGCCTATAGTTACAGTTCATGTAAATTTCAAGTAAATTCAGCATTAAAAGGTACTGAATGCAGTACTCACTGTGTCAGTTCATACAATACACAGTCCCAGAATTATCCACAAGAGGTATGATGAAGCATGACTTTCATCTTAAATTCTTAATACACTTTGGAAAAGGAAAGCCAGCAGGTACAAATGCCTCATCTCGACACAAGGAGCTCTTCCATCTGTATCTGAGCTTCTGCAACATTGCTAAAGTGGAAAACTAACTGTTGAACAAGCTATAAAGCAGTTGGAGCAACAGTCGTGTCAAAACGCCACATCACCCTTGCACTGAGCAAGATGGGAAAGGCAAGGATGTACTTTCAATTCGTTCCAGGTGAGGAGATAGCAATGATCACAAGCATGCAGTGTATCAATATTATAAAAGCTATTAGTAAGTTTACCGCATTCCAACTACAAAGTGCTAAATCAGCACCAGGCATTATTGCCCAGAGCTCCCAGAAATGGAAACGAGGCCATTTGTACCCTTCAGAAACACATCAGAATGACTTTTGGGTTTCGCTGCTGTCTCAGGGAGGCCAGCATGGACACGCGCATCTCAGGGCTGCAAAGAACATCCATCCCCACGGACCGGGCCCTTGGCAGCGCAGAGGGAAACTGACCTTTCTCAATGACAGAGGTACGTATGGTTTGTACCTAGCACAGTCAGCTACTCCATGTATTTCACTGGCATTTGATAGTTTCAATGTATCATTTCCTAAAACCCACTCTTTTTTACATTGAAGCAGGCCCAGCCGCCCCGGCTTGGCTCAGGGTTTCAGTCCCGGCTGCTGCCGCAGGCCGGGAATCCCTGAACCCGGCGACGGGCCCGGCGGCACGTCGGCACGGAACTCACACACACACACACACACACACACACACACACACACACACACACACACACACACACACACACACACATCCCCCGCTGCCCGCGGCCCCCGCCGTCTCCGGGGCCTGGCGATGACAGGAACCAGCTCCCGCGGCCTCCGCCAGCCCGCGGGTGCCCGCCGGGGTTTGGCCGCGTCGCTCTTCGCTGCTGCGGGGTGGGGCGGGGGGGGGGAGACCCGGGCCCTATCAGCCCCATCGCCGGCAGCCCAGGGCGGAGGGGAGGCCTGTCAAACCGCCTCCCCGTGAGGCGGCGGGGCCACGGCCGGCGCTCCTCCGGGCGAAGCGCCCCGAGCCCCCCTGCTGGTGGCAGCGGAGCCGCCCCGGCCGTGCAGCGAGGGGCGCGCAGGGCAGCCGGGGGGTCTAGAGGGGGAACCGGCGCCCCGCGCCCCATCCCGCCCACCCTGCCGGCTCCTCCGCGGCGCCGCAGCCAATCAGCTGCCGCCTTCCATCGCCTCCCGCCGCTCTCCGGGTTGTAAGACGCGGCGCCATTCGCCGGGCTGGGCCCCGGTACGTGCCCTCAGATAACCCTCCCAGCCCCACAATAGCACGTCGCAGTCAGTCAGTCAGCACTAAGCAGCCCCCATCGCCGCCCCGGTGTCTGCGTCCCCCTGCACCCGGCCCGGCCGCGCCTCCCCTTCACCTCCCGTCCGCACCCCCGCGGCCCGGCCCGGCTGTGGCCGCGGCCTCGGCGGGGCGCAGCCCTGAGGGAGGGCTGGCAGGGGGGTTGGGGGGGACGACACGGGGAGCGGCACACGGTGCGGCGGCAGGGAGCGAGGGGAACTTGCCGGGGAAGTCGGGAGTGAAAGTTGGCTCACCAGGTCCTCGAAGCTCCGGCGGTGCTCCTTGCCCTGCCAGTCCAGGCGCCGGGGGATCAGCTGCGGGAGGGAGACGGGGAAGAAGGGGAGGAGGAACGGGGACGGAGGCGGCCGTCAGACCCCGGCCGGCCCCGCGCCGAGCGCCCCCTCCCCGGGCGGCGAGCGGAGCCCCGCCGGTGCCAGCCCGCCCCGGGGAGGAGCCCCTCCGCCGCTGCCCCCGGCCCGCCGCCCGCAGGGTCTCCCGCAGCCCCGGGCTGGCTTCACCGGGGCAGGACAACCCCCGACACCCCCCCGTCCCGAGGGCTTCCTCCGTCCGTCCCGCCGAGGCAGGCGCTTTACCTGGTGCTCCTCCAGCTCCTCCACCAGCACCTGGGGAGAGACGGACACACGGACACACACACATACACACAAAGGACGTGAATCCGGCGCCCGCAGCGCAGCGGCTCCCCCGCCTGCCGTCCCCTTGCCCCGGCCCGGCTCGGCTAGTCCAGTCCCCGCCCGGCCCGGCCGGAGCTCCCGGCTCCCCGCTCACCTGGGCGGATTTCTTGCAGGGTCCGGACTGCAGAAACCGGGCGATCAGGTAGTAGAGCTCTGCGGAGGGGAGGGGAGCGAGGGAGGGAGAAGGGGACACGGTTACAACGGGGGGCAGCCGGTGGGGCGGAAGGCAGCCCCCGCCGCCAGCGATACCCACCGGCTTCGAGCTGGGTCGGGGCGGCCGCCGTCGCCATCCTCCTCAGGAGGCCCGAGGGGGAGGGGGGGTGGCGGATCGCACCCCGGGGAGACGCCGCTCCTACTGCGGCAGAGCCCCCATGGAGGAGCCCCGCTGCCCGTGCGCGGCGCTTGCCCCGGTCCGGCTCCCGCCCGGGCTCATCGCATCGCCGGTCGCCCCATAGAGATCCCGGCCCGAGAGGCAGGCGCCGAGTGCGGTGCAGAGCACGCCGCCCGCCGCACGAGGGCGCTGCACCGCCTTCGCCACAGGGGGAAGCGGCGCCGGGAGGGGACGGGGCGGAAGCGCCTGGCCGGAAGGGGGCGGGTGTGACGCATGGGGTGGTGCTCGTGCGTCATGCGGCACTTCCGGCGGCGGCTCGGTGAGGAGGAGGAGGCGGTGATGGTTGCGCCGTGAGGCGAGCGCTGGGACGCGGAGAGCCGGGAAATAACTGGTTGTTGATAGGAAGCGCAGGGACCCTTAGGGACACGGTGTCCGCGCGTGGTGAGCTGGAGGCACAGATAACACAGACTGGTTGCGGTTGGAAGGGACCTTAAGATCATCCAGTTCCAGCCCCCTGCCACGGGCAGGGACAACTTCCACTGGAGCAGCTTGTGCCAGGCCCCTGTGTCCAACCTGGCCTTGAACACTGCCAGGGATGGGCAGGGATGGGGCAGCCACAGCTTCTCTGGGCACCCTGTGCCAGCGCCTCAGCACCCTCACAGGGAAGAGCTTCCCCTGTTTCAGTGCTGAAGGCGTTATCCCTTGTCCTACTGCTACAGTCCCTGATGGAGAGTCCTTCTACAGCATCCTTGTAGGACGCCTTCAGACACTGGCTGTGTTCATGACACGGTTTAATTCACCATAAACAGACAGAGGTGCTTGAGACAAAGTGTGATGGGGATGCCTGGGGTTGGGCACCTTGAGAAGCGTTTCGTCACAGTGCATCTCACATGAAGTGGGCAGTGCCAGTGTCTCAGCAGATACAGTCAGTACTACACCCTGAGGGGCATGGCCGTGCCAAGGTTACAGGATGGGAGGCTGCAGGAGCCAAATTAAAATTGTTTGCACCCAGTATCCAGGAAATGAAAATATGATTGATACAGCACATGTTCCCTTCAAGGAAAAAAGGGATCAGTATCAGTTACGGTTGATACTCTCAAGGGAAACAAAGACTTTTTCGATGGGAAATATCCTGTCAAAGCTCCAGAAATTTATGCCACCTTAGTAATAAGTTGTTCAAACATATTAAGTGAATTAGTAGCATTCTTTAGTATAAAACTGTGGTTTGCCACCATACATACTTGGCATTGGGTATTAGAACTCCCCAAGCCTTGGCAGTGTAACAATCAGTGTCATAACTGGAAAATGAAAAAAGACAACTCATCTTCATGCTTTGAATGCCAAGAGCTGAATCATCCTCAGTCAATGCCATTGAAACATTAGGAATAAATTCATCCTGAGCATGACTGGGCTTTCTGCAGAGCACTGTTTTCAGAGTTCTACCTGCTGTTGCTGTCAGGATGTGATCCTTCCTGCTGGAAGCCTCTTGTTGGGATGTTTCAGGCTGCCCGACCAAGCACAGGAGCTCTCTGGAGGAGTTGGGCGCTTGACATTCCACTGCTCTGCGTAATTCATCTACACTCACCCACCCCTTTACACAGCTGCGGAAGTTGTTTTGTGCCAGGAGTTTACTGGGTGATGTGGAGACCTCATTTCTTCATCCTCTGAAGTTCTCAAGCTGCTCATGAGAGTTTAAATATATATAAAAAAGCCACTCTTGGAATCTTTTTTAAGGTTCATTGATCAGCTCATCACCCACAGAGACACAAGGTGCCGCCTCGCCAAGCTGCAAACCTCCGTTCTAGGATAGTAACAGCTCTCCCACCTCTCCAGTGTTACACCAGAGCCTCTGAGGTTACAGCACGGGTGCTTCCTTTGAGAGAGACAGCCTAAAACTGCAGTTTTGAAGTTATAAGCTGGGATAAGAGCGTGGTGATACTCACTGTCGTTAGAGGTAACATGCTTCCCACCTGTCTTCAGAACTGAGAATTGCAAGCTCATCTTTTTATGCATGACAGGAATGCATAAAATGTATGGTTTATAATAATATTTTATGATATACCCTGAAACTACGTATCAGTCTGCAACAAGAGAAATCACAGCACCATAAATACTGTATAGCATCATGTCCTGGTGTGTTCTATTGCTAAGAGTTACCCAATACATTTCTTTATGAATATAGTGCCTTTCCTTGGCACCTTTTGATCGGTGCCATACTGAATCCTCTGTGATTTGCTTTTATTTGAGCTTTGGGGTGGCAACATGTGAAGTTGCGCCACCACAGTAGGCAGGGTTATTCTTTGGGGGCCTGTAGAGCTGATGGGAATTTCTGTGGTAGCTAAAATAGGCTCTGAAATGGAAAACCTGGGATGGAAAATGTCCCCAAAGGAAGCTTCTCTGTCCCTCACTTATGTCCTTCCCGCACCATTCCATACAGAAGCCTCACTTAGGCTCTTTGCCTAAATGCGTATAGATACACGACCTCGCTGCTCCGTGTTGCTCTGTGTTGCACCCTCATTGCTGCTCAGATGGATTCATGCATCAACAAGAAAGGAGCATGTCAGTAATCACCCAACTATTTGGTGTGTGTGTGTGGCAGCGTACAGGTGCACAGGCATCCTACAGTCCAGTGAATACAGAGTGTTAGTCATGCCCAAAACAAACGTTGTATAACTCTTCCCTTGGCTGGGCTCCGTCAGTGCGCTGTGGCTGCAGTTTACTGCTCTGCAGTGACTCCTGACCCTCTTCCCATACTGCTGCTTCCCTGGCACCTTGGCTTCCTATCTTTAATGTTTTCCCAGTTGCTTTATTATTCCTTGAGGCTGCTATAAGGACTGTGATTGATACCTCTTCCCACTTTTCCTGGGTTTCCCCCTTAAGGAGTCATCTGCCTGGCGGGTAATGCCCATCCTCAAGTATAGCTTTTGTTCCCTGGGCGCTCTGTCTCCACAGCACACTGCAGCCACACGCGCATCTTGCAGCTCCATGACTCATCTCTCTCTGGATCCTCTGCGTCCAAGGAGCAGCATGCTGGGGGATGATAGTAAATCTCCTAGTGAAAGCCAGATTTTATGGTTGTGCTTATTCATCTTTCTCCAAAGCAGAACTCTTACTATGTAAATGCCAACAGAAGCAGCAGCACCAAATAGTGAGGAACGCATTAACTGGCATGGTAATCGTTGTTAATGGACAAGGGAGATGTTCAGAAGCAGAGGTGCTTTGAGAAGGAAACTGGATGGTAACAGTTTCTTTCCATACTACTCTTTAAAGAATAAATAAGTAGAAATTAAAGCCTTTCAATAAGTTGAAATTTAAGCCTTTAAAGGATATTAGGAATAGAAACCGGTAGTATTCAAAAGCCCATCCCTTCCACCCCTTTGGTTTTGTAGAAACTTGAAAACAAGCCATTTTTCAGCTTTTGCCTCTTTCTGATCCACCCAGGCAGCACTAGTGCTTCTCATACCTGTATTCCACTATGAAATGGCCCATCATGCCCTGTTACTGCAGTTGGGAGTAAATGCAAGCCAGCAGTTTATCGCTCTTTGACTGTAATTTAAATTAACTTCCCAATAGTCAGCTTGTAACACCAGGTAAATGTCTTTTCTTTAATATTATGCTGTCCCAGTGGGTCAGATTCTGACCTGCTTTTAGTGTGAAAACATAATGGCAGTTGTTCACAAACCAGACAAAAATGTGCTGCTGCAAATCAAAAAAAAAGAAGGTTTAGAGTGGAATCTTGCAGGTGTGCCTGGATTCTTCCTTTCCTTTTCAGTAAATGTAGATGGGAATACAGATGTCTGAATCCATTTGGGTTTAAACACTAGAGCAAGTTAAGCATGTTCAACTTTTCCCTTATTTTCCATACACATTTCTGTGTGCATCCTGCTTATCTTGGGCTTTTCATATGCAGCTAAGTGGCAAACAAGGATTTATAATTGTTGCAGAAATGAAGTCCCAGATTTTGTTTAACTGGTAGAAAAGTAAGTGCTATTTAGAAGGAATTTAAGAACTGGTGCCTTGTACTTTGCAGTTACTACGTAAGCAAACATGAATATGGAAAAGTCAAAGTTTATTTAGGATTATCTCTAAATGTGGCAAATTAAAATTTAAATGTAGGTATCACAGCTTATTTATTCTTAAAAAAAAAAAGGTGCAAAAAAATAGCAGTAATTATAGTCATGGGCTTTGCTTGAGTGCAGAGATTCTGCATGGAAACTGCTATCCCATCCTGTGGGACGGATCTGCATATTTCCACTCCTTCGTACAGCTTTCTCCCTGGATATGAGCTGTTAAATAATAAGTAGCTGCTGGGTATTATACAAGATCTGCTCTAGGTTGATTGCTATTTTTAAAGAAATAGTATTTAAATTCCTTGCTGCATCATACGAGTCTTTCCTCTAGATGGTGCCCGAAACCCAAGAGTTGGGTGTAATACTATCCCATATGGAAGGCTGTTGGGAAATAGTCAGGACGCCACTCTCCTTTGTTTCTAAATTCTATCGTATAACACTTCATCTCAGTTGATAGATTACTTGTTCTGCATAATGTAAATACAGTGTTTCTTCCTCTTGAGAATCTTAAAATCCGTTTGCTAGAGCCTGAAGTGCCACCTGCCTGGAACACTATCATCTGTTACTCTGTGGACCGATCCATATTTCATATTTCTTATGGCAGCCATTAACTGGTGTTAGCTGTTGATTGGCTAGATGGTATGTCCATCACTGCTGCAGCTGTGGGAGCTTGTTGTTTGCCTAGTTTTCAAATAAATTAATTCTCTCTGAATATTATTATTTATGTCTATATTTGACATAGAAAGGCAAAATTTCAAATATGGATGAAATGCATATGAAAATGGGCAACAGTAATCTGTGTATCTATAAGCTCATAGCTTTGTAAGCAGAAGGACTGGGTGAATAATGTCAGTATTCCAGTGTATTCAGCATCACTGAATTTCAACATTATGCCTGAAAGTGCTTGTAATCCAGCAAGTTCTATAAGCAGGAAAATTCATAGAATCATGGAATGGTTTGTGTTGGAAGAGACCTTAAAGCTCATCCAGGTCCAACCCTCTGCCAAGGGCAGGGACACCTTCCGCTAGAGCAGCTTGCTCCAAGCCCCTTTGTCCAACCTGGCCTTGAACACTGCCAGGGATGGGGCAGCCACAGCTTCTCTGGGCACCCTGTGCCAGCGCCTCA